TTGAAATTTATTTGAATATACAGAGGTAAAGAGTGAAAGCCAATATTTCTATGCATTTTTTATAACTTTGAAATTTATTTGAATATACACATTTGCTTGCGCATTACGTCCATACAAACGTTTAGGGTTCGGTTAGACGGAAGACCTTGCTGTTCCGCCTGTTTGTCAAGAACGGTTTGTGAGGGACGGCAACTTTTTCCCCACCACCGAGCAATCCATTCATTTTCGCTGATTGCAATATCGGCTGGAACGATGATCATGACCCGCGCGGCTACGCGAAATTTGTAACATCGACAGAGGCGATGACCACGAAATCCTACTCCCGGACTCGCCGCTACGATTTAGCGCCATGCTTTTGGTATCGCCTAAAACCGGAGCGTTGTGCATCTCCCCACTCATCTCTAGAATATCGGATTTTAGAAGTGTATGGGTGATGAATACATAACATATATCTGGTAAGAGATTATTATCAGTAAGCTCTAGGCTACAGACGGTTGTGTTACGCAATGAAACATTCCAATTAAATAGAAACGTAATTGCGCCTTGTACGGCAATTACATAATGCATTCATCGGGGTTGAAATAGAATACGGTTATACCTTTTGTTTGACAGCATCTATATAAAATAATATAAGGGGATCAGACCAAAAAAATGCATAATTGACAAGCCAGCTTTTAAACTGAAAAGTGTTCACAATATTGATACATGTTCTTAAAAAGTGACATCTGAATAATTTGTAATTATTCTTTGGTCAAAAATGAGCAATAATCACAACGTTTATAGGTACATAGAATTACCTTTTTTTAGATTTAATCCTATTTTCATTGTTTTTTTCTATAATCAAGTTTTAATAACCAAAAGTCTTACGTGCTTACTTCAAAGTTTAAGCAATGTTAAAATTCGACTAGTGCAGTGGTTTCAAATCATGCTGTTTCTATATGACACACTTCAACCATGGTGCGAATAATTTGTAATGGACACTCACTGTTTACGAGGAATGATTCATCCCATATTCTTAATCGAGGAACGGTCGGACGATTTTATTCTTCATTTGACAAGCATTGATTTGGGGTTTCTTAGACACTCCACGCGCCTGTTCCCAGGTTAAAATAAGTATCACGTAATTATGCCAACCCTGGGAATAACAGTAGCTGTCACAGAGCTTCCCCTACAGATATATAATTATATAATTTATGTCAACAGCTCTATAACCTCATTGTGTAAGCTTATTCAGACAAACAGTTATAGCCTCTATTCATTGACTGTTTCTCGAGACTTCATAAATTTGTAACGTATACCCCTAGTGGCAGATATATAGAACTAACATTGCACTAACATTACTAACTTAACACTAGAACTGTTCAATGCTGATCGAACCTTTTATTCAGTATGTTTACATGATCTCTTCAAGACTGATCCAAGGAACCTTAGCCATTGAATATAATATAATATTATGTTTGGTCTTTACAAATTATAACAATATCCGATTTACAGATATATACTGACATAAATAGAAGTTCATCTGGTATTACGTAGCTAATTAATAAATAGCTCGTTATTGCTGTACTGTTTGTGCAATGGATTACATACTTTCGAGGTGAGTCAATATACCATTTAAAGTATATTTTTTATAATAAACCAAATTATAACCATTCGTATGTCAATATTTCAGTTATTTTATATGTTCAAAGATTTGCACGTGTCGCAGCACGTGTCTTAACTTGGAATCGAACCGCAAATGTATTCGAAGTAGACAAATCAGAACGAACCTGTACCTTGTTTACGTAACGAAATGAGTAATATAACGGGGATAAATTTGAAATGGACCAATAGCAGGTCTAATGCCAGTAGAAAAGATATTATATTGGGGAGTATGTACGATGACGGAAGGTCGGTAGTGCAGGATACAGAAGGTATAGAGAGCTATGAAAAATGGTAACATCCTACCTGTTTGGTTGAAATGCGATGCGCCGAAGGGGCGGTATACCAGCCAATGGGGATGCCGGATTAGAGGGAGATGCTATTCATCTCACAGTCGCGAGTTCTGCAGGAAGAACTGGAGTAGTCGACGCGCGTACTTTAACGCGATCACAAGTTCTGACCTAATGTCCTTATAGTAGTTCCAGTATAGAATACAAGATTGTTGAGATAAGAATTGTTCAATAGTTAAGAGCAAACTATGTTGAACTTGTGTTAATCGAAAACTCACTTGAAAAATGTCGACCTAGTCATGATGGAATTTGCTATTTTTCTGGAAATATCTTGAGGTGAGTAGCTGAGTTAATTTTTTATTTATTTATTATTAAATCCATGAATTTTTTAAACGTACAACTTTTCTGTCTTACAGTTTTGAGTTAGGGATGAAGGAATTACTTAAAAATTGGGTCCAAATAGAGCTTGGAATAACAGGGGACTGATGAAATTGAAGTTTTTCATTACTTATATGATATATGTCCATTGTATATCTTTCATAAACTTTGCTGTTACTTTTATCCTTTTTATTTGTCTAACTTATATTATTATATTGATAGCACGTATATAATTTTAATATCACGTAGAGTGTTTAAAGCTTTTAATACTCTTAACACTTGTCTAAATATTAATACTGTTTCTTTTACTTATTTTCCCAAAATTTATTCGAATTTCATTTTTCCACTGAAAAAAAGACGTCGAAACGGCTTGTCAGAGCTATTCGGATTTAGTTTACTATTGGCGGGATATTATCCTATGAAATATAGAGCAGCTTCCTAGACATACATTATTATAAATCTGCTTTCGTGGTACAAGATCATGCACTTCCGGTTCCAACTATAAATCATCCTCTTATAACCGCCTGAGATACCACGTCTTTTAACGCACTATTATATAGAATACAGTACAGAGTACCAGCGGCTAATTGAATTTTGATTTATTAATGCAGTGCAACTTCCTTAATACTCTATTTATAATTTATGCAATAACATCAAACGCTAGTATCATTATTAGTATAATCACAAGCTTTCCCAAGATGTACCCGAGTCACAATCATCTTACTCGATACCCAGTAGAAGTTCGTCATCTAAAAAAAATTTAAGTTTAAAAATCATCATCTATGACGTCCAGTGCAAAATTGAAGTTACGATATTCCATCTTCCTTTGGCTATGATTCTGAAATAGAATGGACAAGAACAAATCATCTGATCATATAAAACTGATGCTTTATTAACAATTGAAAAAAATTTCATTCAAGTGAAATTTTCTGTCTCTCTCACAGCTTAGATTCCTCCAAGTTTTAAGTACCATTAAAAGATATCACTCTAAAAAAAAATATCAAACGCCGAACGCTACTTGTACTAATTTCGCAGCAAAAGCTTAGCTATGAATTTTTCCTTCAGTTACAAACAGATTATTATTAATTATATCTAGTTGGCAGACAACGGCGCTATGGATTCGCTGAAAATTTTCTTTTAATTATAATCCAAGGAAACCGTGTCAGACCTTCGCAGAATCTTTGTGACTTTCAAACTTGTGAGAGCTTCATTTAGTATGTATGATTTCTTTGTGAATATAACAATTGCAATATTTTTTCTAACGTTTCTAACTAAAATACCATATTTATATTCACTCATAGCGTGTTATTAAAATTTCAATATTCTTCTCTTAACTAATAAACGTCCCAAGGGCGTTTCATAGAGTTTGTCATAAAACGACGTTACCCATAAACGCTCACGTATTCTTTGAATTATTCTTGCTGCACTTGCGTTTCCTTAAACAAGTTATAATCGATTTTTTATTTATGCGTATCAAAAACAAATTAACCTTGTCGAAAATGTGACTAAACAATCGATTTTTTTATTCGTACACGTGTCTGTCTATTGGTCACGCATGCTTTTTACCTTATTGAATTAAAGCGCTTTATTATTAGAATCGTGAACTTCTCGAAAATTCATTGATACTCGATATAGCCGAGCATACAACGTAAACCATGTGTCCTGTATCAAATGGAATAAATGATACCACGAACGTAATTGAAGGGGATCGGAATTTGTATAAAAAACTCTTATTTCTGGATAATCGATTGTAAACTCGAAACCAATTAGGCTATCTGGATAGTGGAGTTGGCCGATACATTTTTTGATGTGAATTAATAAAAATTTTTTGATAATAAATATTGTTCGAATTTTCATGGCAACAAAATTAATTAAATGTATCTAGAATAAGAAATACGTGCATTGTCGCAGAGTAACGTTCAGTGCATCTTATACAGCCATGGAGAATCCATGATCGATTGACTGTAGTTGCGTAGAACAGTTGCCTAGAACAATTTGTGTCTGCTTGCAAGACGATAACATTCCACAGTAACTGCACTCCTCATTTCGATTCTGCTTCTATGTCTCTTGCCTTACAGTATGCAGGTTTATATATGAGAAATGTAAAGTGCTATCTGTCACCTTCTAATATCGTGTATATATGTATGTCAAACGTAATACATCGAGTGACTGCATATTGAAAATAGATATATGTTATTTGTTGACGGAATATAATGACGACTGTTTGAAAAATGATTAATAATAAAAAATAATTTTCTCAAATTACAAATATTATTGTAAGAATTGGTTGGTTTTTAGTTGCAGTACTTGAATTTGTAATTTTTTTTATATTTTTTTTTTCTACACAAAATATTTGTTTTTTCGACGAAAGTCTGACTGTTAATTATTTTCAGGGATTTGTATTCCATTTGTCTGTTATATGGCCAAACCGTTTTTGATGGATTTCAACCTGTCATATGTATTACGTGAATTGCGTGAATCTACGCTTGTCATTGTCACGTGTGATATTTGGTGTAATCCTTGCTTTCGTATGAGTCAGTGAGTGACGTAATTCAAGTCAAAATTATAAATTTCATGGAAAGAAGGAAAATCTGGATTTCATGACAAAAATTATAATTTGTATCTTTATCAGGATTAAGATTCATCGGAACTTACCTTGGATATTACGCGGTTGTGGCACTTGTCGCTTATTACAAAAACAACGAGAAGTTAATCATTAATATAAAGACGACAGGGATACTTTCAGAAACTTGAGTAGAGTGTACCTTGATATCGTTCTATCTTTCTCGTAATAACGCCGATAAAGAAAGATGTAACCTGCCAAAATTATCTGAAGGTTTCTGACTGCACCTCAGATGTCTAAATTTCACTGAAAATAAGGTCCTTTCTCTAAGACGTTACGGTGCTTTATGAATTTTGAAACGTTGACAATTCAGAAGAAACGGGATCTTCGCCAGTTTCACGTTATACAGACACGACGTTCGTAAAAGAGCGGAAGGAGATGACTTTTTATACGGATATACGGAAAGCGTGTAATAATTATATTATGGGTATAAATAATTAATTATCTAAAAAAAATTATGAAATGACCGTTGGGTCAAGTAAGATATTCATGAGTATGGAAATAAATTTTTGAAAAATAATGCAAGACGAATTTACGTTCTTGAAAAAGATAACATTACAGTATTTTCAATATATTTTACAGTCCATCTTTCTATCAGGGAGAAATTACTAGTATAACTGGGACATCCTGTATGGACGAGGAGCTCGTTACGAATGATTGGTCATGGCGCATGGCTAGTGGCAATGATACTTTCATACCAAGATCCTAGGATCGATCGACCCCGATTATTACTTGTCTAACAGAGCAAATACCTGAGTAATGATGCGACGGTAATGATACATAATGAATTTTCTAAATGATTAAAACACAACGTCCTGTCAGAAAGATCACAAAATTTACATTTTTATCGACAGATGACAGTATCGATAATTATTTACCCCCGTGTAGAGTCCCTCTGGTAAGAGTCCGGCCAACGGTGGGACTTGTTAGTGATTGGCTCCGCCATATTATGGGCTGTTTTCGGAATAGAATGGTGTGTGTGAATACGTATATGGGAGAGATTCGCATTCTGTGGTGTGGGTAGTGTTAAGCCCTGTACGACGGGTTGCCTGTACTTGGCGCGAGACCCGACCGAGTCCCGCGCAATGTCATGGTGGCGCCAAACAAGCCCTTAATATGGCGTCCCTTCCGGGTGTTGGCCGGACTCTTACTAGAGGGTCTCTACCCTCGTGATTTCGTACGCTTCACCTAGCGGACGCTTAACGAACTAGTTCGCATTAATATATTAACTCCATACAGCAGCCGAGAATTCATTCAATCTTTAGCCATAATCGCCATAATCAAAGTTACTTGTAATCAGGGACTGCAACCGAAAGAAATAGCGGTTCGGTTACGGTGTTCAAAATGGTAGAAGCTTGAATTTCGGTTTTAGTTTTTGGTTTTAGGTTTCTAATTCATCATTTTTTGTTTACGGTTTTCAGTTTCGGTTTTTAAACATAATATATTTCGGTTTCGGTTTTAACGAGAGATAGTTTTCGGTTTTCGGTTTTCGGGTTGGCTGTGTTTCTACCATGAAACTAATCGCATGAAGGGTCTGGGTGCCGTCACATGGAGCATACTTTGCGTATCGCAAAACTTGTGTTAGCAAATCACTGATTGCCGTTAATTTTCTGATAGATAATAGAACGGAATTGCGGGTTCGCAATTGACTACGCATGGGGAATCAGCCTCATTTATATAGCGAGTGGCACAGGATCGAAAGGTTTAGCCATACCCATGCTTTAAAAAAAGGCTCATTGAGACTAAGGCAGCGGGCAGCAACCAATGGGAAAGATGCTTCGGAACTCATTTGTGACGTCACGAGCTCAATCCTCTTCGTTCATTGGTCACTGTTTTGCAGCAAAATAGTGATCGAGTTCGTTACGTCACAAATGCAAACGGAAGACAAAAGTTATGTCCTCTGAAGTAAACAAGCTCCACTAAAAAAAAAATACTCCTAGATCGTGCCACTACACACGGCAAGGAAGTGAAATGCAAAAACGAGTAATCGGAAAAGCGAAAAAAACGGAGAAATTAATTTTGGTTGTCTTTTAGAAACGACTTACAACGAACTACGACTCATTCACTGCGTTCCGTCGTACAGAATTTAGAAAGGATTAGCCAATCGTGTATAACATTTGAGAAAAATACACCAATTTTCTTCTGGAATGTACTTTATATATTAGTTAAATTTATATATTATATTATATATTGAATATGGAACTTTTTTAAATTATTTTTGTTCTCGAAACATTACATTTCGGTTAACAGTTTTGGTTTCGGTTTTTCATTTCAATTATTTCGAATATCGATTACGGTGTGGGATATAACAATTTCGAAATTATGGTTAAAGGTTATGGTTTCAGTTTTCTAATTTTTTTCGGTTTTTATCGGTTTTCCATTCCGGTTTCGTTTACGGTTGCGATCCCTGCTTGTAATAGACTTGTATATGTAGGTGGAAATTTCTAAAAGTCTGACTACACAACCTAAAAGTTTTATACGCGACGATCCTGACTGACGCATCTCGTTATACTTCTACCTTGAGGCGCACACAAATTAAGCGTCTTCGCAGTACACCATTGTAGGTGTAGTTGTTACAGGATTGTTATTTAAAGCCGTTGGCCAAAGAACGTAAATAAATACGTACCTTATACTAGGATATATCCAAGCAACGATGTTTTACCGGGGTTTACCATACGGCAGCCGTTGTAGTGTGATTGGGATTGGTGATAGAAAAGTGTGTAGCTGCATTTCTTCGGATAAAAGATTCCCAGGATTTTTTGTTAGATCCAATACATGTGGGTACAAAGAAAGTAGGTAAATCGGACTCTTGTGAATATTAAGAAATAGCTTACTATTATTCGTCAATTATTATTATTTGACAGGATGAAGGTTAGTGTTCATTTTTAAATGGTGATTTATTCGTGCACTTTCTATTGGCACTAGAGTACAACGCCATATTGCTTCTTGGAGAAAATGCACTGAAATATTGATCACGTTAAGAGCTAGTAATGCTTTTTACCATTAGAGAATCTTCAAACAGGTTTTCTCACTCCCTATCGAGTGTCCTAGAGTAACCAGCTACTTCAGCTGTGAATAAATTCTACGTAGCCAGCGAAACGACGTCTGATATAAATTCATGACCATTGTCGTCCCGACAGGCTGAGTCACTTCAATTAATCGAACTAATTATGCAAGGATGCAAATGACTTTGTGAAAATTAAAAGTTATCTCTATTACCATCAAGAACAAGGATACTCTAAAAAAAGTTTTAACGTAATACATTGAGTTACATTAATATCGTGCATCAACTATTTTTCAATTATATTTCGCATTCGAAATTCAAGCTCGAACGCCTGTGTAGTGCAAGGTCAATTTGGCTGACTCCATGCTTGAAAACACAAGGGAATGCATACGGACAGATGTGCATACATATCAAAATGAATATCCTCATAGAGATATCCATGAACGACCTCGGGAGACATGCAGTACACATAATATAAGTATCGAGCACGCGTGCAACAGTCACGTTTGCGAATGCCATTCACTTATGAAATACAGAAATCCTTGTGCGTCAAGCACATGGGTTACGAGAATCGCGTAACACGTGCATGCAATTACCGAACGTTGTGCACATGGGACACGGGTTTGTGTGCACATGCAACTGGACAGAAGTGAGAATGGAAGCCCAAGGGATGACACCCGGTAACGTGTAACGTTTGTACCGTAACTAATTGTGGGTCACGTGGAGTCACAGATCACATTAAAGTTCACGTATAGGTATCTTATGCAATAGGTGTGACTGACATAACCTATAAAGCACAGTAGTGAAAATCTTTTGAACTCTATTAAATCAAGACAAAATTTTGTTGCAATTGTTACGTCTGATGCATTTGTGCATCTTAGCACTACTCTAGGGAATCTCAGATGCTATTTCATAGGGAACAATCTACCGAGTAGTCGCTAAATCGATACGATACTCTGCACGGAGGATAGTTAATCTTTTAACTCTCTGGCTGATATCCAATAGATTTGGAATATTTCGTGCGGGTGGGAAAAAGGGTAAAGGAGAAATCTGTCGAATCGCTGAAAGTGAACTTTCATTTTCAACGTGGAAATGTATCGTTGGCATTAATCCATTAAGAGAGAACGATATGGAATTCACTGCGGTGATAATTCTTATTTAACGAATTGTCCATTAAGTTAATAAATTTGTTCCATTTATATAGGATTTAATTTCTGGTTGGGATTTTACTCTTTATTTTCATGACCATGACTTATTTTCAATATACGTGTGTGGTGATCGGAGTATGATTATACGATATCTTAACAGAAAATGTTTTTTCATGATAGCACACTTTTAAAGAGGCTATTAAATCTTTTCTTCAGGCAAACTAGCTCCTCTGATAACAAGCCGCTTAGTTAATGCGTGCAGCGTAATTTTGACCTACAAAAAAGTTGTCCTTGTATCTCGGCGCCACTATCGATTGTCCCATTTTACCGCAAAACCTGCGGCGCAGGCTTTAAATAAAACTATTCCAGAGGTAAAGCGTAGATACTTGTACTTGTCTTCTGGAGTTCCCAGAAGTGTCGGACGATAAAGGAAATGGTTTCAATCAGTTTGCCAAGAAAAAGGCACAGATAACAAAGAGCTATCTTACAAATAGCGTAATAAAGGTAGACTTCAAATTTTAAACAAAAATAACTTTTTTTCTCATGTATGTTAAAATATCGATTTTAGTAGAAATTAATGACTTGTTTCATTTCTACAAGATGTTTCCTTGATATCAAATATGTATATTTGTGCAGATCTAATACCGAAATACAGTAGGCTGAGTCTCGTTGAAACTAGATGACATGGGTGGTGACCTGTTTTAGGTTCTAATTGCCCACTAAACACTCAAGCTGTAAGTCTTTTCGGAAAAAACTGATTAAAGGAGTATTTTCAAAAATAAAAAGTCCCTACGTAAAAGTTCGCTTGGTAAATAGGAGAAGTTTGTTGCCAGGGCAAATAAAACTAGCGTCACGTGGATCTCTGGAGGAATATAATATTCCAAGTTTTGTATGTAAAAGTTATGAGAATCACGATGGCGAGAGATGTCTTCTACTTCCGGAATACTTTCCCAAATTGGAATTACCTATATCCGTTTGAGTTAAGAACTTTGATTCGGTTCGAGCAATGGCTGCCACATACGGTTAATAATATTTACTGGAAATTAGGACAATTATACAGTTCGCGTACAATTTCCTACTGTATACTTATATATCGAAGTTATGCATGTCCTATTGGCGTATGTAATCCATTAAATACGGATATTACTCGCAGTATCGATTTATCCAACTTTTACGAAATTCTCGACTCAGTTCAAAAGTTCCCACGCTGCTGGTTATCGCAAGTTACTAGAGGTGTTTAAGATCTATGGAAAGCAGGTATGCAACGCAAATTCATATAAATTTATGGAATGGACTATCAGGGAATAGTCTGAAGGCTTTCAGGACTTTGGAAATTAAAATTATTTTCATCGTAGACTGTACTTGCGCGGCACACTAATAGATCGTTAATATATTCAAGTATGTGGAAACTGGGTACTTGGGGTTAAAAGGTGCTGCTGTCCTATACAGTAATACGTATATGTAATAAGCGAATATAATTACACATAATTATTCACAGGTTTAATACATATTCCATAATAATTAATTAAATTTTTCCGAAATTTTTCTGCTTCGTATTTTAAAACCTGACACTCTGACACTCCGATTAACGTTATCATGAGGTGTGATATGTTGAATTCAGTGGTCAGGCTAAACTGCACAATTTCAATAACATTCTGTATATCTATATAGAGTAGGTATGTGTCGCGCTTTAAATTGCGTGATGGCCTTGAAACGTGACCATATGTGAAAATTGACATCAATAAAGCAAAATAGTATGAATATTAACTTTTATTTTTCTTTGATGAAATGAACAAGGGTTATCCAAAAATGTCTTTTGATATCCATTTTCTATGATGTATAGCGTACAGGCAGTATTTCTACTTGCTGAAAGACGTATGTGATATTTTTTTGTGAGCTTCTGACATATCAAACTACGTTCTTACTGTGGTAAAAATGTTATTGATGCTTTCTAACACGCAGTGAAACTTTTTCATATCTGTTTTCAGGGTGAACGATACTTGGCACAAATAGCACGAATAGGTTTGTTTGCTGTTTCATGAATTTTTGAAAAATTTTGGAACGGATTGCCCTGGTAATTTAAAAACGATCATAAGAAAACTATTGCGTCATTTGTAGTTTAATCCAGCACGAAGGTACGAGGTGCATTAGAGTTTCTATTCAGTCCATAGGCCGTGGATCTGCATACGTGGCGAGTGGAAGTAAAGTAAACAGAATTCGAATAGCTACAGACCTGTTGGCAGGTATCCAATACTCCTATATCCTTTCTGTTAGTTTTTTTTTCCCAGCCAAATTTCCACCAGGAACGAACACAAAAATTCTGTGAAATTCAATGCTCGTTGAAATTTCGTAACATCAACTTAGTTGCACTTGGTTTCTTGAATTTGAACCTTCATTCTCTAAAGCCCCGTCCGCAGGATGGGGTCTTTCTTTTTCCAGTTCAACTTATAGGTTAATTCTACGAGAATTGCCAAGCCTACTACATTACTATAAAAAATCCTATATCCACGTTATCATATTAAGTCACGTGCACATGACTTTGCCATCTTAGAAATAACAAACTAAGAAATAAAAAAAATAAGAAACTGGATGCTTAAAAAAATGACTTCATCGCATATCATAGGCATACGTCATTGCTCAAAATTGAAGCCAGGAGTAAGCGAGTCTGAAAAATTCCAACCGAGCAGGTCTGTTCTCGTTACCTACGCTTTCTGAACTTTTCAAAAAGGACAAATTCTTGCTGGAAGATATTTTTAAGTAACCAATGAGAATCTGCACTTTTCGAAAAGTGCAGAAAGTGCAGGTAACGAGAACAGACTTAATGTTCTTAAAACGGGTAATAAAATCACGACCGTTCACGTGTCGACGTATTGAAATATCATTTTCTTCGACATCGACAAAAGGTATGCAAACTCTTGAATCATATACACGATTTTCAGCCGACCTTGAATTATTTAAATCTTGTCTCTCGATCACTCCTATTCCAATAAGTCAATTCACTTTTCATTTTCCACAACTGCCACGAAGTCAGCCTTCCTCGTTCTCTGATTTGATCTTTCACTTACGCTGTAGGATGTAACTTATAGGAAGAAAACTCTATAATATAATTCGCGATACGACGAAGGACACACACTCAATATCTGAGAGTGAGGTTATTCAGGCTACCCTACTTGAGAAACTTTTGGTCAAACTAGAAGGGTCTGATGTGTTACCAAGGGTTGCCCATTATATTGCTATTGGCTTGTCACTCTCTCTTTCTCTCTCTTAAGAGTCATGAATATAAGAGTGAGGTACCTTAAGTACGTACTCGTTAGCTCGTCGCGGATGATCCTCGAAATAAAAAGTCTTATTGTTAGACCCTTAACGCAGTGCGGAATAAGTGCTTCAGCGTTGAACACTCAGCAATTCCATTGAACATCTATACGTTCCTCCGTGTAGCGTATGCTCAGCTCTTTTCCACTTTTCTTGCGTTCTCTTTGTTCACTCATCGTTACACTCCACTGGTAGAGGCAACTTCAACGTCTTCCGTGTACATACAGTGTGGTGACTCTCGATTGTCATAATTGTCCGTGACTGGCGTGGATTGAAATTCTGTACATGCATTGAGAAACTAGCCGATGCAAAATACACGCTTTGCTAGATAATGTCGAAACGGGTCGAAACGTTAATTGAAATATACCAGGTTACTCAGCCCAAACGCACCACCTGAACATGGTTTCATCATAAGACTCAAATGGGCGCGCTAACTTCAGGTGGTGCGTTTCCACTGAATAACCTTGTATAAGCACATGCTATGAGTCCCCGGTTTTTGCCACGTTCACAATGAATTAATATGTCCCTGGTAATTAATATTATTACCATCTTTTGGTTATTTTACACCAACCTCCCGAAACTTACTGTAAACATGAATATTACTGGGTTGATTCATATAGCTGGTTGAATGGAAATTTTATTGGTGATTTTTTAAATATGAAAAAGTGACTTTTTATTTTTTTTAATCACCTTACGAAAATGTTACGTGAAATAATTGCATTGTATGCCGGGTGCAGCTATTGGCCACTTTTTTTGTCCAATTTCGAAATTTCTACGCGAGCTTTGATATGTTTTCTTTTTTAATTTTAATATCGAATTTTGCTGTGTTTCAGATTTCGTGTCTGTTTTACAATGCCGTGGAATCACATGTGCCAAGGATGAACATCAATTGTAATATAATATTCGGATAATACTAAGGATAGAACAACTCGTAAAAATAAGTATATAAGAACATATTCAACCAAGCCGAGTGAAGGGGGATGCCAGACGTTTTTTTTTTATGAAGGATTTAAAAGATTCTTTACACTGTTCCTTATTAATTGAAAAAATTCCAAAGTGAGAGATAACTCGTAGTCTTAACAACGCATAATGTACTTCGCGTTTAATTCAGTGATAATCGACAGTAGAAGAAACCATAATGAAGAATTTTGAAAGTTGGTAACGGTCTCCGACAAGGAGACGAAGTTACGTCATCGTGGCAGGTTATTGTAAATCCGACGAGACGCCGATGCACGAGACGTTTAAAACGAATGGCAGCTGGATCTTTAAATATGGATTTTCCAAATGGAAGCGGCAACAATACTTTAGTTCTCTGCGATCTACGTTACCGACACTTCATCGCACCTGACGGAGGTAAGATACACCGAGTGATTCACAAGAAGTTACGGATTTGAGTGTTACAGCTTGATCGAGTTCATCGAAGGTTTCTTACAATTTTCATATTTTTTTCACTTGGTTCAACTCGATTTTTATTATCTTTGTTCAATGATGTTAATCAGTGACCAATCAAAATCATCATTCCTCGACTTAAGCCACACTCGCATTTGTGAGTTCCCGTGAATCACCCTGTATAAATATACATATTAACACTTTAAAACAATATACAAGCTGCATTAGAAATTCTAATTCGAAAATCCACGCCAAACAGCAAATCCCTGGAACTCTGTGTACCATTTTCAAACGTAGGAAATACATGGAGTTCGTGAATTTATATGGGGATTGCATTTGCGTTTGATGACGTAATAATTTTCCATGAACTATTTCACGAGCGACGCTGAATATCTTGAGGGATGAATTCAATGTAATCCTTACACGTAAAACGAATCGCCAAAGGACTATTACAGGAATGTACGAAAGTCGAAGTCCTCATCGATTTGTCCTTTCGAGTCCTTTTCAGTTTCATTTCTTTCGAATTTCTCATCCCATGCCTGCACTTCGTATTCCGCGCATTATATAATACTTTGGAATTGAAAAGGGAGATATAATCGTTAAAAATGATTGACTCGTCGATTATTTTTTCTTTATTTGGTTTTCACTCTGGATTTCAGAACTGTGGTGCAGCTGGGCATGGGACTCTATTCTCTGTTGGCCGCCTACGAAAGCATCAACCACAGCCAAGCAAAGGTGTCCTCTGGAGAACGGTGTCGACACTACGAGTGAGTTAAAGCAAGAATAGATTAGAGTGGTTTATTCGAAAGATAACGGAAAAACGTCTTATCGCTGAAAACCGTGTGACAGATCCTCTAAAGGAATTGAACTTATCCTTATACATCCTGAATGTATTCGCAGTGCGAACGGTACGAGTAAATAAGGTTATGTTTAATCGTGAGATTCCAAAAATTTTCGTATGCGAAAGAAATTTTACGTTCGAATTTTCGATCGTGACAATCCTACGTACACTCTCATAAAATATTTTTAAACTAGATTTTGTAATATGAAAAACTGTTTTCATCAAAATATGCAACGTGACTTCTCACGTTTCGTCTCAGTGTCAAAGGTTAAAATTTATTAATCTCGAATAAATATAAATTAGTGAACATACCATGTAAAATTAATGTTAGGGCTAATTGACAATTCACAAAAATTATTTTTTTTTCGTGACGTGATCAGAGGGATCCATCGCTCTTTGAATAATAGCTATTCCTATTATACGATTTTTTTCATCTCGATAAAAGAGTATTACGTTACATTGTGTGATTTGTCAAAAATTTCAATTTCTTTTTTTTTACAATCTATATAAGATCGATAACTCTTGTCTACGATATTGACACATCGATTGACAAACTAGTTTGAATTTTATTATTTAACATTTGATTGGCATCGATGACTCTGGACTTGTATACATATTCCACGGTTATATGACGTTCGTTAAAATTCATGAAAATCACATTTGCCAGTCTGTCACTCACTTTTTATTATAAGCTCGGAGCTCCCCTCGCTAATTTATATACCATATATCACCTGGAACATACTCGAGAGGGTAAAACCAAAAATCCTAAAATTTTAGAAAATACAATACACGTCATTTGACTGTTTGCTCATATATGCATGCATTTCACAGTCGACGGATATTATTGAAAACTTTTGTACAACGTCTCAACTGACATCAGACTTCAAACAGATGCGAGTGTGTTTACGCTGAAGTTGGTGAATTTGAAATTCGACCTAAAAGCAAATATGGCCCATAGCTGTATCTCTTATTTCGTGCAGAGATAAGTGACGCATCAATCGCATGAGGATATACGAGAGAAAAAAATTGAAAGAATTTTCATAGAAAAAAAAAAAATAAAACCCAAAGATGATAGATGCTTATTTTTGTGATTATCTTCTATGAATTTTCGAGAGGATACTGGGTGTTTCTTAAAAGGTCTGAACTTCCGGTAACTATGTACTCCATGTTTCTGGAATTAAACACAAGCTTCCTTATAACACTATTATCAACGTATATTCCAGTCGATCCTGTACGGAACTTGACAAAGTATTACCTTGGGATCCTGCTAAGTATTTACGTCGAAAAAGGTCGTCGTGCTGTTTACTGTATGCAATGGAAATCGCAATGCGGGTCAAAGGTTACGGTTGGGATGTTCCACTTTAACTCTTAACTGCACAGGTCTGACCTTAGAAACATACTGTACGATAGGGGCTCTGTGAGGCCTCAATCTATGGGACTGGATTGTGAGGCCATTACAACGAATAGAATAGGTCAAATTTAGACTTTTTCATCACTGTTATTTTAATTTAAACAAATACCAAGTAATAATTATCTAAAAGGTTTTTTTTTAATTCGTTGAAAATTTACGTACAGACAAATTCGACAGGAGGGTTAAACATAAAATTGATGAGGTCTTTGAGAATGCACGTGTGAAGTTAAGGGTCGAATTTACCGCTACTATAACCTAAGCTGCATAATTGCCTTTATGGTCTATCTTGAATTATGATCGATTTATTTACGATAGTCATTAAGCGACGTATTCGTATTTCGCCAGCACGATGTGTAGTGACGATGAAAATACGCCTTTAGGAATTAACTATTTACTATATATCAATATAATACGATACAGTTGACCCAATTTAACGATTCAACGATACCTATAATATTCCAGCATTAAATTTGGTACTCAGTCGTTTGTAGGTAACCTCAAAGGATACTTTTCAAGGAATGTCAAATGGACTTCATACGTAGTACAGTGAATGCACTCGCTGACCCGCAAGAGTCCTGCGATACAAATAAAGAATTCGTTCCCTCGGAGAGAACGCCGAAAAGTGGAGAACTGCGATAAGCCAAAAATAAACAGTTGCGATTCAATTTTTAATTCACATACGTCTTTGTACAGAGTTTGTGGAAAAACGATGCGACGACAATGGACGTTGGGAGGATCGCGGTGGTCCGACGGGAGAAAGAAATTCGCCTAATGGATGGACAAACTATACACCTTGTTTCACAAGGGAAATGCTCCTGCTCATTCGGAAACTTTACGCCGGGAACGAGGACGCTGCCAAGGTATAGGGTCATGATAAATTATTCTCTAAATGATCATTACCATGTTAAATAGCATTGATCGCGTAAGTATCATTGTGTAAATTAAATTGTTAAAACAAAAGAAAGATCCGTCTTAATAACAGAAGTAATTGTTCATTAGACGTTTCAAGCGGATAAAAGTACTTACATTTCACTCCATAAATTATGGCTTGTATTCAATGAAATATTTATTGCTCTCGAGGCGCGCGAAAAGCGTAGTATTTGATGCGGACGACACGTGCCTGTCAGTTTTGTTTACCTCGTCGATTATACGCAAAACAAATAGCGTTGGCGCATAAATTGCATTTTGCTATCATATGCTAATCATTTCCAAAAGCTTATAATTGATACGAAACGTACAATTGAATTATTAACGACAGATTTATTTAGCTCGGAATTATTTATTTTTCATTTAAAAATCTGATCTTTGAGTTAGCAGCTAGTTTTTGTCCAATTGCTGCTCACTTAATTTACGCCAGCACTCGCGCTATCTTTAAATCTACCTGAGTATCCACTCGCAACCACTTTCAGGTAAAACTGGATATTGCGAAGAGAACACGAACACTGGAATTCGTCGGTTTGAGTATCTCCTTGGCGGCTCTTCTCATTTCCCTGGCAATTTTTTGCCGATTCAGGCAAGTCATTTTACAGCTTTAAGTATTCACTCGACACATTACCATCTGTCCACGCCCATTAAATTCCTTATCTTTTTCCAATTTTTAAAAAAATACTTTCCTACGTTAAATATCCGCTCTAGACGTAATTTTTTTGAAAATGGCTTTTATCCTTTTTCCAAATTTTATTTTCCATATCCCGTTCTGAATCGTTTATTTCTTCACCTATGTATAACGCCGCTCTCTGAGACTAGCTTGAAATTTTAGGAGCTTGCGGAACACGAGGACACGAATTCACAAGAATCTTTTTGTTGCTATGGTCATTCAGGTTCTAATAAGATTGACGCTTTACATAGACCAGGCAGTCCTTAGAACTGGGACAAATAGCTTTCAACATGGAATAGAAAATACGGTAAGGAACGTACCATAACGGTATTGGAATAACAATCTTACAGCAACATAGTGTGCGAGTAGATTTTATTTAATTCATATATTCTCATATAAATCGTTTAGAACTATACCCAGTAATTGTTTACCATGTTAAATAGAACGTATATTTTCAGCCTGTACTCTGTGAGGCAAGCTACGTCTTGTTGGAATACGCCAGAACGGCCATGTTTATGTGGATGTTCATAGAAGGTCTTTTTCTCCATAATATGGTAACAGGTAAGTCCTGTCCAAAGGGGACTCGTATAACGGGATTATAATTTAATAAAAATTTTACTTTTTGTTTTACACAGTTACGGTGTTTCAAGAGACGTCTTATTATCGTATGTATCGATTGGTCGGTTGGGGATATCCTGTAGTAATGACATTGACCTGGGCCATTGTCACGGCAGTGTACTATCATCCGTCAAAGTAAATAACCACTTGATCATATATCGATCTTTCTCACTGATTTTTACGACTGGATTAATTGTCTTCTTCAGATGTTGGTGGGGCTACAACCTAACCTTCTACTTCTGGATCCTGGAAGGACCTAGAATGGCCGTAATTTTGGTAAGAGCCTCTCTCATTTTTTAATTAAAACTCAAGTATAAATTTCTTATCACTTTTACTATCCATTTTACAAAAGCTCAACTTTTTGTTCCTGCTGAATATTATACGAGTCTTGGTGGTAAAGCTGAGGCAGAGTCATACCAGTGAAATTGAACAAGCTCGGTGAGTAATAATTTATTATTATAGACATACATACCTATATGTCATTCACTTTATTCACTTTGTAGAGCAATGTACAAGGATATAACATTTTTGAATATTTGTTTCTCTAAAGACTCAACATTAATTTCCAATTCACTGATCAATAGCTAATATCTTTAGCAACGATACGTAAATTGGTATCCCTAAATTTTTATGTTTTAGGGTGATAATTAATCTCAGCAGTGACTAAAGCAGGCCCTTGGCTTAATTAGAAACAGCACTCCTTCCTTCGTTCTCTGGTGCTTTTATCTTTTATTTTTCTCTATCTCTTCTTGGATTCACTATGCCAGGCTAATTATTTTTTATCTGAGAAGATCTTTAGCGCTGATCAAATTAGGATTTCCTTTTTGTTAACCTGAGAATAAGCGAACAGACAAGCCAACTCAATGTTTTTCAAATGGAGAATGAAATCTTGCTACCGTTCCTGGGTTCAGCGAGATCAGAATTTTTCGGTTAACGCTCTCTTGCCATTTCTCTTGGAAATCTATTGTGTCTAGAAATCGAGTCTTAAATGTTATATCTGTATTTATGTAAGTTCAAAGCATGTGATATAATGAATAATACGAATGGTATTAGTTCGGTAATACGTTGTAATTCCTTTAGTCTCCAAAGCTCATATTGTCATTCGACATAGTTAAAGGAAAGTTTACGACTCAGATCCTTCTGCATCCTTTTAACTACGGGATTTATGTGATAACAAGTTTGGAATCGGCATATATACGCAACACTGTCAACTTGTGAGATACGATACAGTGTAAAACGGATGTGTTCTTTGATTTCGAATTCCAGAATTACAAAAATTTTTGACATATTTTAGTGGGTTCGGTAACCTCTGAAAATTCTTGCTCATGTATACTGAGTGCAAGTGCTTTTGTGATTCTCCTGTAATTTTAAATTTGACGTCACTACAAATACTTGTTTTCGAATGCGAAAATAAACTTATGCATTTTGTATTTATGTCAGAAGTAAACGGTACGGCAATGGCATCTGAATTCACAATAGAGTTAACGTTATTCTTAGGACTTTGAACTCTTGAAAATTAATTTTATTGCTGAGGAAAGTTTGAATGAAAATAGAGAACGTTAAGTCTAACACGGTGCTTACTGTTTTACGAATTCTTATTCTGTTCTTAGGAAAGCCGTGAGAGCAGCCGTCCTTCTTCTACCACTTTTGGGCATTACTAATTTGATCTCGATGACGGAAGCTCCATTAGAAAAGGCCGCCTGGGAGTTCGCTTTGTGGTCCTACACAACGCACTTTTTAACGTCCTTTCAGGGGCTATTCATAGCGACTCTCTATTGTTTTCTGAACGGTGAGGTAAGTCATAGTCGTTCAGTGTTATACGAGCATTCATTTCAAGAAGCCTTGGGTAGGAAATCTAACAAAAAAAAAGGTATCTCATACCAGAAGTGATGAATTGTATTAAAAAGAAATAAAGAGCACATGGTAATATAGTAAAACCAGCTAGGGTGATGACAATGTAACAAAAAAACGTGGGAAAAAAAATCTATAAAACACTGGGACAAGATCATCCTGAAAAACTCTGTTGAATTCCGTAACCGACAAAGTGGCTCGATTAGACGCTAATAGTTTTTCTATAAACTTTGCTTTCTTGGGAATAGGTCAGACTGGCCCTGGGTAAAACCATCTCAGTGTATCTATCATTACGTGGTACAGAAGTACAAAATAGAAGACAGTCGACCTTCAGTGGATGCCAACCGCACCGAATAACCTCGGGTGAGTTATTGGATTCACGTAATTAAATTTGTTAACTCAATATCGTCCTGAAGAAGTTTTGAATGCCTCTTGGCATACCTGATGCTACCAACCAATATTACATATTTAATTATTTTAAATATATAATGTCAACTCTATCCGCTGCAACTGGCAGTCGATTCGTCATAAAAATGATAACTTTCCTCTGTTACCGGTGCCTCCCAGTCATCGAAGTCGAAGAAGAAGAATTGAGATCGAGTGGTTGGATTAGACTTTGCTGTCGTGGCGAAGACACTCCGCCCTCGGATCGACCTGCCGAGTGAGTAAGATCCGGGAAAATCGTTTGCCGACCACGTCGATCCGCGTTTAGATCATTCCTGTGGTCGATCTTCATTACAGATCGTACGTACATACTGATCCGTGTCATATTATCCTCCATGTTGATCGGCGTATTAGTCGAATGACGTAGGAGGATTGATTTTTTGTGAGAAGAAGCATTTTTTTTTTTCCCTTAAGCATGTCTGGCGTCATTTGCACGTTTATTGGTTTAAATATGATTTTGCATCTGAGTGGCGATTTTAACGTTATGCTTGGGAAAGGCGGGAATTTATAATTTTTCAAATAATTTTCTTTCAGAACGACTGTCTGACCGGAGTGGTGTCAGTGAACGCGCGCTATCAGGGAACGGCATCTCGTGACAAGACTTTTTACACGGAGGTGGAACTCGAACGTCAGGGAGGTTTTACCAGGGTAAATGTTACTAACTAACTCGCGACGAAACACCAAAAGTTTCCGGAAGGATTGGCTGATTCTTGCAACAAAGTCATCGAGCTGCCCTCAGGAGGACTCTTGGCCTCTCGAACTTGACCCAGATCCAGTGACCCAACGAAAATGTTTTGTTTCGTACGCGAGACTCGGTAGGCGACGTAAGAAATGAGCAAAGTATTAGGAAGGATAGATAAATAGTACATTATGTCAGCCAGTAGAATGAAAGACCAAAGGACAATATGACGAGTCAATATTATGTGTATTCTAGGATACTTCCTAACCTTAATTTTTTGTCTTAACCTAAACACAGTTTACACGTCCATTCATCCCTTTTGTATCTTATATGGACGATCGAATGTACACGTCCTTTAAACTTTCTTAACCTCTCGATCTTCCTTTTTATATGAACCGCAATTTTTTACGAGCATTTACTCCCCGACGGTCTTTCATTCTCAAAAGGGGCAATCAGCGGGAATGACAATTGGCAGCTGAAGCAAAATGACAATGAAAGAAGTTTACAAAGATTCGAGGTTAAGGGTTCCATTCGCAACAAGCAAGAGTACGGATAAATCTTTTAACCTTGGCAATCGACATTGTATTGAAACAGCGGGAATAGTCGCTCAAGGCTTCTAGAAAAAAATCAAGCGATTGCTGGCAATTACATGAAGACGAAGGCTAAAAATAGATCTGTGCAAAAGCGGAATGTCAGATCTTGTGAATTGTGCACATTGACTTTAGGAAAAGAATAAAGAAAAGAAATATATACAGGGTTATTCACAGTAACCGCATCAACCGAAGTAAGCCTATTCAATTGATTTCTGTAATGGAACCATCTTCACTCCACTGTCACAATCTTCATCCGTTGTGACCGTTGCGAAAGGGGTGACCGTATCCCAGTAAATAATGCTCCGGCTTTCAACGGGCTAACTTGTACGAACTCCTAATTCAGATTCAATTGGACTAAGCTACTGGCATATATTACATTGGGAGTAAACTCATGTGAAAAGAAAATATGGAATAACGTCGTGAATAATCCTGTATAAATATATTGTATTTACGTATTGAGAATTTGACGTGTGTTACTAAACGGTCTCAGGTATAGGTAGATAGTCGCGCACATCTGTATACATATATGTATATAAGTATTTTAATGTTTTTCAAATACTAAAAGTGAATGAGAATGAGGATCGTGGATCTCGGTTAACTTGTAAGTTCAAATTTTGTTATTATTCTGAAAAATTTATTTTCTAATATACCTTCCTGGATGCTAGTGTAACATTAGAGTTAACATTCATATAGCATTAACAAAACGTATTCCTCCTCATTGGCAATTTTATTTTTGTCAATGAGTGGAACACGAAGCCATGAGCGATATTTTGTTAATTAAAATTTACAAGTGACAATTTGCGAGGATCGTGAATGTGGGTGGCGACGCGTTCTTTTCGAATAAGATTTGTGTGTTTATACGTGTACGTGTACGTATGTAAGTAAAGTTTGCAAGAAAAAATCGTTCAGTGGACTGTCGTTCCTCGAAATCCGTGTGAAAACTTTTAAAGAAGTCGTAATGTTTTTGTGAGTGTCATTCGAACGGATTCTGAGTACAACGAATAATAAAATTTGTATGTGTTCCAAAATGTATGGTGTAACGTTCGTCATCTTCATACTAAATTTAGTGTATTACATTCAGAGGATATTGTGTATGGGTACGTTACAAAGAATATTATGGAAATGGGAAGATGTATTTATTAAAGCAAAATTTATGTACGATCTTGATAAGTAAATTTTCCTATTACGGAGACTGATCTTTGATTGATACGTGACTAAAGAAATTAGGATCAATCGATTTCAACTCACAGTACGGAAACCTTGTCGATTATTACTAAATTTTTCTAGTCAAGGAAGAAAAAGGAAAAAACATCTTTTCGTTTAGTGTGCATCTAATCGTGTACTACATTTGATGATAACTAGATAACTTATTCAGTACAATAAAAAGGAATGATGTGAGAACGAGAGTGTGAATATTCTTAATTTCATAGATGTTATTTTTTTTCAAATTTTCAATAATAAATTATGTATACGTGGATACCAGTATTGTAAGTCAGTCAGTGGAACGATTAAGGAAATTTTCGCATTTCATATAAATGTTAAACACCAAGTTACAACCTTTTTACAAAAACATGATTTATTGGCTTTTTAAACTTATAGTAGAAAAAAAAGGGTCTTGTGCTTTCATCCGAAAAAAGGAACATTTCTCGTACTCTTATTGATACTAAAATCAACATTTGACGAAGCGTGTATTTTTCTTTATTCAAAATTTTCAGTACCTGATTGTGAGTTTTATATTATACCTCTTGACGTTAGAATATAGTATCAAGATGAATTTTCCACGGAAGGACGGATATTATACATATATATGCTTTATATATATATACTCAGTTCCATTGTATACTTAAACGAAAAAGTTTTACGCTGCTGTTTTTTTTTCTACAGAATCATGGCATTCAAAGTTTATACATATTATTCACAATTTGTAATCGATATCCATAAATATTAACGAGTAGAGTCAAGAACAAGTGTAACGAAAATTCTGCTTTACCTTATCTCACGATTCGTTCACATAAATATAAATTATACATGGTAAATACTATCACAGATTGTTCCTAGAGAAATTTAGGAAAAACATGTCTAATAATATAGGTGATTAATCAGACAATGCGATTTACATATCGATGACTTGATTTAAAAAAAAACATCTTTTGATCAATGAGTAAGCCGATCACCTGCCGAGTATTCTCTGCGAAGAAATTTAATTATCTATAATAATCCTTTCGTACTATCAATATTAAATATTTTCTTCTTTACTCATTTTCTCTCATTGTCAATCATACCGTTATCATAAACGTAATAATTAGTACCAGCATTGTGACATCAGTTTACAAACTATATTGCTTTTTAAGTACTCACATCATGCATGTCCGATACAGTTCTATTTACGTTATCGTACACCTAAGAAATGTTAGCTAAATACCTAATTACATCATGCCGCATGAAGATGAAAGACAATTACAATGGGTGAGTATGAAGTATTGATTAAGATCCATGTACATTGAATACCTTATTTTAAGTTTACCCAAATTTCTAACCCTACACTTTGAATCATTTGAATTTAACGTATAAAGATTCTTAACCATCATGTACATACAAGTCACTATAAAACCCTTAACTAAGTAGTATACCCTGTTCTAATATTGATTTTTTTCTACCATTAATACAATCAGTTCCTATTTACTGTAAATAATTAAAGGGATATGCCACGATTGTAATATCCTTATCACAGCACCGTGGATCCATTGAACATAGTCTTTCAAAATCTCATATATCATACGACACCTGGTCCCAGACTAAAACCTACCCAAGCGAGTCCTTGTAATCTTTATATTAATTACCTATCACTCCAATATACTTATGAGCACAATTTTTCAAGAGAAAGGAAATAAAGTCAGATAAAAAATCCTGATAATTCTCCAATTCATTAAAATTCGTCATGAAAACTCCTTTCGGTATCTACCATTTTGCTACCCAAAAATAAATCCATCTTACTCAATATCTCTGGTAAACTAAGCTTCCCATCTTGATTCGCATCCGACAGTACAATCAAATGTTGGGCATCCTGAATGGCATGTCTTGGATTTCTTGGATCAATATACATCTGCAATGACATTATATATTAAGTATACATATATATATATATCAAGCACGTATTCACCTATCTATTATCAAGCTTACCAAAAGTTCTGTGCGGTCAGCTTTGCCATCTTTATTTTTATCAATAAGATGACGAAATTCCTTACGACGATCTTCACTTCCCGGTACTGGCTCGTTCTGATCTTCACGTAGATCCAGACCTACACCATCCGATGGTAAACTTGAAAATTCATTTTCCGTCAATTGCTCGTCACTGTCCTGATCTTCAAGGAATAAGATAATTTCATTAAATTTGAAAAATATTTATCATTCTCTATTATCTATCATTCTCTAATATCCTAATCATACCAAACTTCTCCAAGAGATCCTCCACCATTTGCAAAAGCGCCCTATGACTGCTTTCCGGATGCGTAAATGCCAAGAATTCATCCAATGCCAGTCTTTCAGGATCGTTAGTGGCGGCCTCGGCCCACCGTGCTCTGTCTCTCATAATAGTTTCTTTCAAGGACCTGGACATTTCCCCGTGTCTTTTGTCGTGAGAATTAATATAACTATCCGAAAACCCATGAGATCTCAGGAAGTGGGCGTGATACTCTTCCCAGGAAACTTCACCTGATAACAATCCTTTCATTCAGTACAATGGCGGATCTTAAAAACTGGACGAATTTACGAATACAAAAACTAAGAATCAAGGAAGACTTTAAAACGTGAATGTTTCTTATCGTTACCTACCGTTTCTAGGATTATTGTCTATAGCAGTGAACAGGCCTATGTTCTCTCTCATCGCGCGATTAATATGCTCTGTAATCTTCGCGTGTATCCATTTAGCTAATTCCTGAATGTCCAGCAATTGATTCCTGTCTGTGTCAGCTCTCTGGAATGTATCTTCTAGAAGCTTTTGTGGATTCTCTTGATTCTCGACCTGCTCCACTTCTCGTATGCTATTATCGTCTCTGTGATCCATTCCGGCCTTTTCGTATTTATCATAATCCTTTTCAACTGTCCTCTCTACCCCTGGGGTCTCCACTTCAATCGAGAGACTCTTAATTATTGCTGGATTACCTCGAATCTCTTCTGGTACTGAGCTTTTCAGTGGTAAACTTTTATTATACTTCACAAAGAAAAGTGAAAAGTATATGATTAAGGGTATGAAAATTGTCCAACGCAGTAATCGCAGGTAAGACAGGCTCAGCTTCCAGACCATTTTTTCCCGTTATTACTGTAAAAATTACATGCGTTCTTAAGCAGTGATTACAACTACCAGAAATTCTATAGCTTACGACAGAACCAATTATGTTAATGAAATAAGAATTTATACACCAGCAACTTTTACTGCTGTCAACTATGTAATTACAAGAAATGTTTTTTTCCTTGATTAACAACATTCGACATTCCATCGTTGACACAAGCAATTCGTTAACAATATATTTCTACTTTCTCGATTTTACTATGCATATAAAATAAAATACACTTACGAAAATAACGTAATACGTTGTATCAGTCAAGTAAACAAGTGACTTTTTGGTCTATGGAGTCGCGTCACAGCAAATCCTGCGAATTATCAATTTGACGGCACTCGTCATAAACACGTCTACTCTGTAACATCTGCTTAAATGTTACATGATCTTAATTACCAAACCACTTCCGATTAATCGTTATTTAAAGGTTCCTCTTGCTTTCGTCATTCAGCGAACTCTCACGACCATCACTCAATTCTTTTTCTAATATGTACATATATTCACATCGCGCATGATCAGAAGGGCGTTTAATGTAGCAGAAATTATTTTTTCAATAATTGAAACACCACTGAATTTTCCCAGTAACACTTTAAAGTTTTCAGTAGAAGATTTGTTCTCAGGTCTCGTTGCCACTACTAAACTATACACGCCGACGGATACCTAACGCTTACGGTGTATTGATCCACTTTCACTGGTTGCTACTCTCCCTACCTTACTCTCTTTCCTGCCTCATATTGGCCTAGGAGTTATGGCGAGACTGCTATAGATCTAAGTGAACATAGCATAGCCATAAACGTGAAATTGCTCATCTATACATACATATATTGTAACGTATGATATAGATATATGAAGCATTTACGGTGTTTTTAAAATACAGTGTCTTCAGCATTTCAAATTATTGATCAGAGCATAAGATCGATTTTGAACGTGAGATGAAACTAATATCATGAGATATCTTGACTCCTAATTACAAAAAAAAGATTTAATACTTTCCCCATCTCTAAAGGCAGGTCACTCTTTATCATCAAATTATATAAAATCGTTAGGTTTATATTTTATATTTATTTTTACACGCACATATATTATTTACAATTGATAAGTACTTAGCACTGCTGCTAGATCAGATTGATCAGACTAAGAGCATTAGAAATACAGCAGCTATTTAAATATTAAAATTTAGGTAGGTACCTGAAAACCATGTATATTGGAGTCATATGTGAATATATTGTTGTCATCTTCACGAATATGTTCCATAACGGCGATCCTCTAGTTCATAAAATAACGTTTGAGAGACTTTCGAGCGAGGTACTATATGTAAAACACGATGCTTAAATGAATCTAGAAATACTGTATTTTGTACTATAATCTAAAAATGAATTACTAATTGTTGCATTTAAGTGTGCTATAAATAATTGAGTAATTTACGTATGTACTGTAAATCGTGGTTTCTGCGTATATGTTACATTGTTCAAATGCTACTGGCGTCGACTGAAATAATTCGTAGAGTCATGACATTACTGATCATCCGCTATGCCTATTATCTCTTGAATTGATAAAAAAAATTTTTTTTTTTCAAAAGAGAATAGTCGATAACCTTACGAATAATTGTTTGACGAGCAATTGTTAAATAACGAGAGCTACTGAAATGGTATAGCTTATGAATATTCACAAAAGAATTCTTTTATATCTCACATTGAATTTGATCTACCAACAATGTTGTATATCTCGACAATGACAGCGACGGTAATGACGATGACAATAATTGATGATCGATGTCGATGCTAAAATTATATATTACTTTTCACTTTTACTCCCTTCAATCTGTATCTTCTCGTCGTCAAGATCAAGGGCAAGATTCGCAATACCCTGAATGTTCCTAGTACGGGGCTTTTTGTGAGCACCAAGCAACGATCTGATGGGTGGACAAAGAAGGTCGTGATTCAAATCAGCAATATTTTGAGGACCGGTAGCAACGCTAACAACAGTACCTAACAAGACGGTCGTCAAGCAGCCAATCACACTGTACCACAGGTAACTCACCTAAAGAAAAATTCAAAACCGTTATTCAGCAATTTCACTTTGAAAATTTCCGTTTACCTTTAACCCTCCAATAAACTTTTCCACGTGAGTAAAAAAATATTGTTGAAAGACTAAAAAGTTTCAGTAGTACTTACCCTGTATATTGGCGAAATTTCAACGTGAGTGTCATCCACCTTTGATATGATTAACGTAGTCTCGTTCACACATGGACAACCATCAACGGAAATAGGTTTGCTGTCTAATTGGATATCACCTTTTAACGCAGCCACTTGTGCTCCCAATCCAATCCACAATACTAAAGCTAGAGCAGTGATAGCACCCACCATTGCACCTTTAGCATTTGCCCATGGTACGAACATACCCAGGGTAAATAATCCTAGTGTCACTCCACCGACCATACCGTTAAAGGACAATGCAACCTAACCAAGAAAAAAGTAATAATGGACTACTGCTTATAATGAAGTTGAGTGTAGATGATAACAGCAGAATTTACCTGTAGCACACCACCGAGTTGACGTACGACAAAAACAAGCGCGAAACTCAAAGCCCCGAAAAAGACGCTGATCCATCGTGCGTAAATAGCGCCGCGTCCCGATGGTATTTCAATTTTTAATACACCCTGCAGGATGTCTTCGCAGGTTATTGCCGCTAGGGAATTTAGAGCGCTGGCGACGGTTCTAAAAATTACGAAACAATTTTTCTTCGTGCAGAACATTCTTTTGTCTTGTATAGCGGTAGTAGATTTCTTTATGGAAATAGTTTCTATGTACCAACCCGAGAGAGGCGGCGAAGATACCGGCTACAAAGAAACCAGGAACGCCTTTGAGTTCGCCCATAAAATTCATAACGTAGAGAGGTAGCAATTGATCCTGTGCCGTAATATATTTTGCAGTTACTGGATCGCAATGTCTGTAGACACTGTAGAGTACCATACCAGTCAGGAAATTGACTGTATAAATGATAATCAGACCAATGGCCGACACCCAAAGTGCTCTGTAAAATAATATAATTTTAGATGGAATATCTGAATTTATTTCTTTCTTAAAAATCCATTTTAGATTTATTGTTGTCGCTTCATATTAGTGTATGAAAGTCAATTTAGGTTAATTTACTAGAATAGACATGCAATGCGATACTGTGTTTGTCAGAGTGTCATCGTATTATAATTTAAGTTCACCTACGTTCTAACTTGTCCAATTTTTTTCACACTTAGATATTTCTGTACCGATGCCTGATTGCTGCAGAACATCGTAGCCCAATAGAATGTACCGCCAATTACGACACTCCAGAAGCTGTGACGAACCGTAGGATTTGGGTCTGTATTAAAAAATTCAATTCTTCCTGTTTGATAATTATGCTCCCAAACTACAGCACTGCCTCCTGCCCAGGTTATCCCGCATCCCACGATCAGGAAGAGTGAACCTAACAGTACAGCCGTCTGGAACGTGTCCGTCATGATGACGGCTTTCATGCCACCTTGAGAAGCATAAAATATGCACACCACGTAGACTAGAGTTACGGCTAGGTAAGTATTGAGGCCTGTCACTAAAATTTAAATATAAAAATGGTCAATTGTTAAAAAAAGAAAATACAAAAAACGCAAATGCAAGTACTATGTATTTTTTGCATAACTTACCGTGACTTAATGCTAAGGCTGGCGCGTATACAGCGACTGACGTGTATAGAATCATTTGTAGCATGTATAGAACACTGGCCAGTAATCTGCAGTGCCGATTAAAACGTAAATTTAAATATTCGTAGCTGGATGTCAATCTCAGCTTCATGTAGACCGGTAAGTAAAATCGGGAGGTGATCGGAACGACTAATATAAATGCCAAGCAGGTCATCCAAAATTGAGTACCCTGAAACGACAAAGAGACTATTTTTAAAAGACAACTAATGATAAATGATTATATTCATTACCTGTCCATACATTTCAGCTGGATTTCCAAGGAGTTCAATGGCCGTCACAAAACTGGCAGCCAGTGACATTGCCATAGGAAATGTTCCCATGCTGGAGCCGCCCAACAAAAAGTCATCACTCGTTTCTTGCTTGCTGGCAAAGAAACCATAAAACATCCCGATGCCGCAGGATATCAGCAACATAATTGCCAGAACCGTATAATCGGCCCATGAAAAGTAGTGAAGCAGCGCTGGATAATCTTGTCGACATTTTTCCTCGTCCGCCCCGACTCGTCGTTGTTCTGTCGATGACGCGTAAAGGGCACAAAAGAAGACGAGTAACTGCAGCCGCATCGCCAACAATTCTCTTCACGCAGACTATAACCTCAAATAGAGATCATTTTTATTAGGTAAAATAAAAAGTTGTACTTAACAAAAAAATTTTTTTTGCATATAACAAAAATATGGAGACAATGAGATATATCATTCGGAATGACTGATGGACTCGATCTTGTCAATTCAATTGATCTCTATACTTGACATTATAAAGATCTTAAGTATCAGTGTAAATTATATTGTCCTGTAATTGTCATAGCTCAAGTGCATCACACTTCCGTAGACGTATGCAATAGTTTTAAGATTGTGTGATATGGTCGATTTCTGCATGGAAAGTTGTTCATTGCAATTTTGCTTCTATTGACAAATTGACAGCTGGATAATTGCCACGTGTTGAGGTATTAAGAATTGAAGCGGAATGGAATTGCACCCTTGTGTCACGTTATTGCATAGCCGCCATTTGCAATCTCCTAATCATTTCTAGTTCGAAGTGGATACGGTTGTCCCAAAGTGGTTTCAAGCGGTAGAAATTGAAGAGTGAAAATAAATGAACAAAATTGGATGAAATTTTTTTCAGAAATTTCAAAAATTTTTGAATTAAGTTATCTTTTGTTAATGTTGGAACATCGTGTAGGGAAAAATGAGTACAAATAATTGCGACAAAATTTAAAATGAAATTATCCAGATGGTAATAACGAATTGAATCACGCAGTTTCGTAATGCTTCACGACTAGCCCTTACCGGAAATAGATAACGCGATGCAGTTAATTGTTGCAAATGACAGAGATAAATTGCCGAGAAAACAGAGGATTTATGCAATAATATTGATGCGTATATAATTGTTGTTCTGTAATTTCTGTATTTTACTGTGACAGTTTAAAAAGTTGTAAAAGCTCAATTAAACAAAGTTATATCTTTATATTCATAAATTCAATAAAAATGCAATATCACGCAATTAATAAAATAATATTTGTTAACGTAACCTTTTTGCACAGTTGTAATGTAGAAAATTATCTTTAAGCTAACATAAGAGTAAATGCATAATATTTCAAATGACTTACCCGTTATATAAAATAAAGAAAAAAATAACAAAACTGTTAATTATGAGTAAAAATATTATTCTCAAAAACTTCGATTATCGATTTATCGATTCACCGCGATCAATAGAAACGTACGAAACTGTAATTGAATAATTTTACTGGTTCTCCTCGCGTAACGCATATATGCGCTTTTATTGATTAGTCTGAGCTTATATGCTATTTATCGGTATACAATTAAATTTTAAGAATTTTTAAAAAATTTACGTTTTAACGCAAATCTTAGATCTGAGGGTTTCTCATTAATCAGTCGAACGTCGGACTAGAGTGATGGATTAAACGGGGAACTGTTTTAAGACTGATCGTTTTAATTGTCACGTGCGCCTTTATATGAAGCATCCCCCTTCCACGATGGCTTTCAAGTATAAGTCGTTGTCAACAATAATATTACCACCACACACGAAGCGAAATGCCGTAAAAATTTGTCCAAATATTCCATTAAGAATGTCCTTGTTGCTAATGATATAAGGTTAATTATGAATTTTCATTAAGCACAACTAGGGTAACATTTAAGTGAAATAAAATAATCTATGTCTAAGTAACGTATTGAAATTCCATAAGAACAGAAAATCATTACCATGCTACAGTACGTGTTATTTTATAGCATGAATAACTAAACAACGACCGATTAGCTTATCCAGAGGAATGAGGAAAATACGTGAAAAAATGAAAAATAATTTATGTAAACTTGATAAGAGAATCACCGATTGTATCTCGAGGTGGGAAAATCTCTCATCGAGCCCGTAACACGCGAAGCGTCCGTCGAGCGTGTAATTCCAAACAAGAGAAAAATCAGATTATTCGTCGAATTATGAAAACTCATGACGGTTCTATTGAAGTAAGAATAATTGAGAGTCCACAATTTCCTGTTGCTCTTTCAATTCGTTCCGGAATGCGTCACGGATTTATGTTTCTGTTCATCATCCCCACAAGGTACGAGTCCGTAATTAGCTCATATTGTAAACATGGAAATCCATGTGACGCGCGATTCTTCTAAGTCAAAGCACATGTGAAAAAAGTCTGTGTTTGTTTAATTACAAGATTAAACCGGATTTCAATGGAATCGTTAAAAATCAAGGGATGATTTACTGATTTTGATTAAATTTCAAAGATAATCGTACAGATGTCGCGACTTGATCCCTACTGTGACGTATACATGACTAACGTAGTAATAATGTTTGGATTATAGGAAAGCTTATATGATACTTCATAGTCACGGGGCTGAGTTATGTCGAGCAGATCACTGAGAATTTCATAATGGACTAATTGAAGTTAACGGCAAGTACGAAGAAGGAAAATAACGCGCATCTTCCAGTGAGAAATAAAGGGCCGGCAACTAGAGTCTTAGTCGGCATGAACTTAAATTGAAACTGGTTTCAACTGACTTACACTGGTTTAATCTGGGTGAGCGCGACCGTTCTAATTGCCTAATATGCAGTAATTGAATACGATGAATTTTAGGGATACCTTTCAATCCGTATTGTCCTTTTTCTGGGGCTTTACACTTTTTGCATTCATCCCTCGCGAGGCTCACGATTAGATTTGGAAACTTTTACTTTGCTACTACTCACTCCATATAGCCAAGACCGTCGTTATACCATGCGAACTGTACCACTGTAATTGATTAATACATGGTGTTTAGAAGTATACTGTCATACCAGCGGAATGGCAATACAGTGACAAAGTCTTAAACAATAATATTTTGAAATTTGTCTCTTAGGAATTTTCAGGTACTGTACTGGTATTGTTGAAATTTTACTCCTACGTCACTTTGACGCTTCATGCAATCGTTGTTCACTATGTTTCAGAATTTTCAACACTTCTGTGATCGCTCTTTGTATTATGCTACAATAGTTTTTGTTTTTATACAGAGGAGCGGGGAAATATCGTTGGAGTGATTTCAAGAAATATAGATTTATTATGTAGTATCTGTATCAATTAACCAAATCCACTATCAGTCTGCGGATTTTGTATAAAATTCGATTTTTTATTGTTTACGTATATGTATATATTAACTAAGTACTCGGTAAAATTGTTTGTACGATAGGTGATAAAACAATTCTACTAAAATTCATTATGAGATAGACACAAACCTCTCTGTACTGATGAGTGAAATTTATTTCTGAATTCGACCTTGCGAAACGTACGACAGTTCTTATAGTGTTAATTGCAAGATCCAGATATTTTTTTTAGTAATGACAGAATGGCGAAGGCGTGCGTGGTGGTCCCTTAATTACTATATAAAGAATGCCGACAAATAATACCAATTGTGAAACACGTTACCGATTTGTTTGATAACTTTGAGAATCTTGTTCAATTCTACATACAAAATATCCAAATCTAATACGTCATATGACCAACCATAAACGACGTAAAGACCATAAACGCTAGAAACTGGTATTATCATTTCCCTGTTCTCTCTCCTGCCGCTCTCTACCATTAAACGTCAACTTCTTTTGTACTTCAAGATCTATAATCGATAATCCATTGTCCTCGCGTGGGGATTTCTCTCTATTCCGCATACGATTGCCAATGATTGTAAAAAATAAATCCGGATTCAATTTTTCCTTTTCTTCTTTCAAAACGATTCGAGCTAAATTACTGACAAGTAATCCAACTACGACAGTTATTAAAAATCCAATGGCACTGTACCAGATGTACGATAGTCGATAAAGATAGAAATACGAGGAATCGTCGGTGTTCCTGAAATAATAATAAATCACAGAACATAGTAATCGATTAGGATTAACATCAGATGAAAATTCTTTAAAGCAAATACTTACTCCGCCTTTGTATGTGAGATGGCTTGTTGGATTGCACTGAATGTCTGATTCCTACTTACGGTAGCATTACACCCATCCGTAGTTACTGGTAATTTCGGTGTTGCTGGTCTCGGTTGCCCGAAAGCAATCCATAATGAAAATGTAAGTGCTACCAAGCAGCCTGTAATGGTTCCACGTTGCGTTGCTGTTTGACTGACCATACCCAAGGTGAACATGCCCAAAAGTGGACCACCAACAACTCCAAAAATAGTTAACGATCCCTAAAATGAAAGTGACGTATTGACTGACATAAGAATTATATTCGATAGAAGTAAAATGGTTTACCTGAAGAATACCGCCCAAATACTGGGCCAAGAAGGCCACGGCGATGCAAGCTAGTCCAAAGAGGAAAGCCAACAACTTTCCAAGGAGTATAGATTTGGATAACGGAAAGTCATAACCAACGCATCTTTTATATAATGGCTTTATATAGTCTTCCAATGTAACCGCTGACAGAGAATTTAGTCCAGCTGATATGGTACTGAGTCCGGCACTAAAAATACCTCAGAGAAACAAAAAATGAGAACAGATGAAGTAGAATGCTTAAATGATATGACATTCATGAATCATCTTGCGTTACGGATACAGAGTATTATACCTGCAACGAATAATCCAGGTAGTCCAGGAATATGCGACATCGTATCCATAACGTAAAGCGGCATCAACATATCGGTAGAGCTGATCCTTCCTTCGCTAACCGGATCGCAATTGTAATATTTACTATAAATGGCCAATCCGGAAAAGCATGTACAGATGGATAAGAACGCAAGAATTGGCCAGTTTAGCCACATGGCAATCTGAGCCGATTTTAGATTCCTGAAAGGTTACGTGACCCATTAGGAATTGCGTAAGTGTAGAACAAGCATCGTTGTACGTGATAAAAATTAACAAAGCACCGTAAACCTGCCTCACTGTTAACATACGTTGCACCTGAACTTGATTAACGCCATAAAGCGATAAGTATGTGAAGATACCACCAATCATTTGTCCCCACCAAGTGTGTCTTACGGTCGGGTCGATAGAAACACTGAAAACCAAAATAATATTGAAATAAAAATCAATGTGAAATGCAACCAGTCATAAACGACTGTAACATGAACTTCTTATGAATTCTGTATAAAAAATTTATAATTACCTGTCGAATTGAATTCGACCACCCTCGTAGGCAATTCTCCAAATTTCGCCTAAACCACCAACGGCATTAGCAGCGACACCAATGATGACGAATAAGGCGATGAACATGAGTGCACCTTGAAAGACGTCGGTTATCAGTACAGCTTTGATACCGCCGACACTTGAGTAGAAAGCGCAAACCAGGCCGATAATAATAATACTTCCAGTTTTGGAAAGACCTGTAGTGGCTTCCAAAGCCAAGGCCGGTGCATAAAGTACAACGCCTGAGTATAAAAGTATTTGAATCGAGTATATGAAGCTGGCAGTTAATCTGGCGCCGACTCCAAATCTTTTTTCCAAATACTGAAATCAAATCAAACAGCATCCATGAGCTACGTATAAAAATTATATAATTAATATATAAAGTACACTGACCTCGTAAGCGCTAGTCGCTTGAAGCTTATAAAAAACTGGAAAGAATCCGTAGCAGACTACGGGAGTTCCTATGAGGTAGGCAAGATTTACTATGACAAACTGAGTGCCATAGGTATAATTTTCGGCTGAAACACCCAGTAGCGTGATCGCCGACATAAATGAAACCATCAGCGCAATGCCCACAGGTAATATACTCATTGACCTATTGGCATTGAAATATTCCTGTAAAAAATTATTCAAAAAAACAGTTTATCTATTAAATTTGAATTAAGTGGTTATGCCGTATGACGTCATTGGCTGCTTACGCAATTTATTACTGAATTATATAAAACTAATATACGCTAATAAAAAAAAAGATGCATTTCTAAATATTAGAACACATTGTTCATATTTACTACCTTCGGCGAGATTACTTTATTGTTATAGCCACTTATCTGAGTTTAACGCGCTGTAATTATTAATTTTTAATGTAACGCGAGGATCAGTATAAGTCATAGTTTAGTATAAGGCATTATATCCCATAGTTCTATATTGATAAAATCCTTTTAATCGATCAAAGCATACGTTTTCTAATTACCTCATATGTCCGTTGACGACCGCCAGTTAGTCTGTAATATAAACCGATGCCCGAGCTTATGCAAAGCATCAGTGCTATTACCAAATAATCGATCCATCCTAAGGTAGCGGAATTTGCCATCTGAACGATCTGGAAAATAAAATTAAAAAATTATTATTCCTTAGGTCGAGGCCTTAATTTTTCGAATTATTTTCAGTTTTAGCCTGAACTGTTCTTCGTGGCGGGACGAGACAGAAGATATTACAATATTTTAAATATTAAAATCATATCGAATATTTACTGAACTTTTACGACTTTACGAGGAGCACGCTATAATGTATATATGACCCACTATTAACTGTGCTAATTCAAAATTCATATCGTACTTAATCTTACGGCGAGTATAATCTCGCGTTATCGTGATCTCTATTAGATTTTATTGCCGGTAATCATTAAGAGACCGTATGTAATGCAGCCGCTCAAAATAAGAAGATACGTTATAAAATTACGGATAAGAGTACAATTTTTTCTAATATTAAAATAGTCTAACCATTTTAATAATTTCATACACTTGTCTTTCTTTTTAGTATGCACAAGAGCAGCTCTGCTGACTACATATATTTTTTCTGATGAGCAAACAGATCTATAACCTTACTTTTTTTTTCATACATTTTTATACCAATTATAAGTTCTCGAAGAACAGTATAGAAAAACTAAAAAGAATTATTCAACGTATCTCCTGTGCAGAGCGAAAAAAACTCTACAAAAAAACTATAAAAAAAGATATTACAAGTAATAGTGATCAATACTCAAATACATGTATTGAATATCCATTAAACGATTGTTATTTATATTAATAGCCATACAAATAATTGCCTATTAAATTTCAACAGCCGCATTTAATAATGTAACTAAAAAAATAACTAGAAACTCCCAAAAATTGTCAATTGTACAATCTTGAAGGTCATTCAAGACACTATATAACACATACTAATATACAGCGTTTAATTCATCCTATTCCTTCGTTTATGTTATAAAAAAACAACGTAACAAACTTACGAGATGTGGACTATATCGTAGTCAGTTCCTTTCGATCACAGCGCTCGATAGAAACGTCCAACCGTTACGGCGTCTTCCTATGATATTCTATTCTTCTGCTACAAACGTATAGTATAGTCGAGGTCGACGTTCAAAAGCAGATACTGACTGCCTAGTGCAGCTGCGCGGATTGCGCGGACTCGACCATGCTGACTGTTGCTCCTAACCTATAAAACTGTGATGTAAAACTACAAACAGTGTATGAATATGCAGTGGATATATATATATATATATATATATATATATATATATATATATATATATATATATATATATATATATCAAATAAGGATAATATTTGTGAAAATCATCGTAACATACCTGTCCTGTCTTCCTGGAAAATTCAAGTAAAATACAAACATCGCCACTCGTGAAGTTCAATGACCATGATAACAGTATATGTAATTGTAATAAGATTCAGTACGTTAATTATTCGAATTCAATATGTATTGTATACGATGAAATACTCGAATATCCAGGAAAAATATGATTTTAGATCCAAATTTTATCTGTATCCTGCTCATGTTTCATAAGAACTAAAATTTTACAAGAATTTACTGTGAAAATGTAAATTCTGTATAAATAATATAACCAAGGAATATTATTACCCGCGAATGGGTTACAAATAATATGGGAAATATCATTTGTATAGAATTTACATTTTCGTAGCGTATTTTTTGAAAAATTTAACATCTGATCAAGGTACACAGTTTGGATTTAATTATATAAATTTTTATATGATTACGCGCAATCATTTTTTTTCTGAATCTCAACGTGGCTGAATAAATTCATGTCTATTTCTGTTCCTTGTCCGGTTGACATTTTATAACCTATGTGGAAAGTAATACGTGTCTCTTGATCATGCTGTATTTCTTTGCTTATTTATATGCTTTATTATCAGAGAATATTTATTTACGTATGATTTGTTGAACTCTATATAACGGCACTTTAAAATCGATGTCTCATTTAGGAATAATAACTTCTTTGCCCTTGAACTACTGATCTTTGATACTTTACAAATGTGCGTCTGACTTTTTTCATGGATAAAACAGACTTTCGACAGTCTCTTCTTACGTTTTCAGAAAAAAATAATGAATATAGAAAATCGTATAGTATATAATCAAATCCTACATTTGTCTCTATCTGACCAGATTAAAAATTGTACAAAAGTACATGTTGAATATGTAAATTCCATACAATTTGTATACCCTTAAATAACATTAATGAACATATTTATGGATAATGAATGGGAGATAAATATCTTTTAATATAATAAATTCTTGTAAAATTTTAGATCTGATCAGATAAAGACAAATCTTTCATCTGATTACGTATAATCATTTTTTTCCGAGGAGGTATAAATATCATAACCTCAAAATGTGAATTTGAATACTAATAAATTTACGTAACATTCATCAAACATATAAAATTCGGTACAGTCTCATGTAGACCCTGATACGAGCATCTTTTATATGTAACTTATTTATGTGTAATAATCTCCTCTAGCTTGGACTCTTGACGAACACAGCTGCATGCACTTCATGACAATCGTTGCCACTCAAATGGTTCTACCTAATCAATTGTCTGCATGTTTGTTTATAAAGGCGGGCCGTTTCAGATTAATTTTCGTATATCAGACGAATTCATATCGGTGCTATTGAATACATTTACACTGTTAATACATGATAAAAATTCATTTATACTATGCGATTTAGAACCTCAATTTTTTTCACGAAAAGAATTTATCAACATGAACATTGAAGCCACTCGACATACTTACCCATCGATAGAAATGAACGAAACATTTGTAGAGAATTATTAGCTTTTAAGAAATATGAATATATATATATAACTATAATATAGTTTCTCTAACGTGTATTAAAAATTGACATATACAGATGTAATTACATTTATTTTCCTACTATTTTATAACCATGGCTAACAAGAACTAGAAAAAAATGCAAGAAATCCTTGAGGAGTTCGTACAAGATTTGTAACGGTACAAATTGGCCAATCTCTCAGTACTCCCGTACTTACTGAGAGCGCAGTAGTTAGAAAAACAGCAAGGACAGGCCAATACTATCAACAGCCGATAGAGGAAAAACCTCTCTCGAAAGTCAATCATCTGAGAATCATATAAATAAATTCTGATAGATGATTAGCGCTTCTCACTAATCAATCTATCATTTCAATCAGTTAAATGATACATTTCAAGGCAGTTTAATTCATTCAAAGAAAAAGTATTCAGAACGACAGCAAGTGCGAAAAGATAACGCAGATTAATAAAGTCAGTTCGTCAGTCTTTTCGCTCGATTTATGCCCTCTGGGAATTACATAAATTTGCAAAATTGAGAATTTTGTCGAAATCTCTGGCGTAAGCACTAGTCCATGCTACTTCGCCGAGGATCGTGCGTAGAGAAATTTTGTCTAAGTTCTGAGGAGAGCACAGCGATCTCCCTCAGAAAATTCAATTGACGCCATCTTGGTTTTGATCTATTATCCTCACTGTGATTAGCCAATTTGCACCTAATGCTATAGCCAACAGGCAGAGCGGCACCAGGACTATCTTGCTAAAGCCAGGCATATCTCCACTCCACAAAGATAGGGCAGAGTAATAAAGGAATAGACAATAAATATAGGATGCACCCCTGAGAATCTTTTCCTACAATACCTACCGACCTTACCCTTGACGATTATCATTGATATATTTCAGATTGTTGTACCTTTCATCGGTAATTCAATGAAAACTTGTTATTTTATTTTATCATATAATCCTGTGTCGCCTAAATTCTTTAAAAGCGCCAGCCCCGAGCACTTCCCTACATTCCATTTCGCACACTCATAAGGAGCGTACGAAATTGCACTACCGATAAACGTTACAGGTTCAAATAGTTAAATTTATTACTGTTCTCTATGAAGTTGGCTTTGACAGATGACAGACATTGCCCTTTCTATCGTAAGTAATAATATAACATTGTCATTCAATAAAGAAAGCTCTATTGCTTGTATAAAACCTCGAAACAGATACTTTATTAAACGTAAAATAATCTCAAGCAAAGACTAATCGAATAATCAAAGTAAAATGTCAGTGTATGATTGTTTATACGGGACTTGTCACGGGACTTATAATTGCAATAATTTTTTTTTATATTCACACACAATCCCTGGAAAAATTACTGCCATTTGCGATAAATGTACAGGGGGAATGAGAGGCAAGGAATTATTTATCCAGATGCAGTGTAATCCCGAGAAAATACGAAGAAACGTTTCCGACGTGAAATCGCGTCCGTTTATAAAAATCGAGCGTATAATATACAAAGAGTAACGCTTTATTGCAATAATATTGATTGATAATAAAAGCAAGGCTTTTCGCTTGCTCGCGCGATATATATATTATATATATAAATAGAACTATGTATATATATATATGTCTCGCTACATAATAGAATTGAAATAAAAATTAAGTAAGTCGTGCACTTCCGTTTGTTGCCAAATCATATATTCTTTATATACGTACTCGCTAAAATTTTAAGTTGGCCATCGCAATGTTATGGAATAAAGCACAATAACGTTGTTGCTAAATATTGTTTGATATTAATACAAATAAATTATGTTTTCGGTACATAGATAACACCTAGATGGAACGCGCACTTTAATCGCACGGCACTAGTGATGTTATTTCATATGATAATCGTATCTTCTTGAATTACTCTTTTTCCGTTTTTATTCTCATTATTGATTAGGGACATCAACGAGTCCCTTGCGATTGACATTCAACGAGAAATCAATATCTAGAGTGGTAAGGAAACGCCGATATTGTATCAGGATAAGGCACATACATTATCGTGACGTAATCAGACTAAAATAATGGGTAAAAATTTGGTTCAAGTATTAAAAAACGTCTATAGTATAGGAAATCTACGTGCTACAGGATAGTGCCATCTCAGACGTAACTAGCTAAATCTTTTACAGCTAGTTGGACTATTAAGACAATTATTATTATCATTTCAGTTTATCCTTTCAATGCACTTTGCAATACCACGCAGGCCATTCCGCAATAATCGAATCACGATAGGACGTTCATCTGGCATTTATTCATTAAATCGAGAAACTGTTCCTCTGGTTTTCGAAGTTCAAAACGCAAACGGCATGTATTTACAAATAAATTCATAAATGAATGATCCCTCTAATGAATTTTCACTTGGCTGCTTATTGAATGCATACAAAAACAAAGAATCAGTGAAGACGTAGAGCAAAAAGAAAACTAGTATCTCTATTGTTTACAATATAATTGTTGCTATGCTGCATCGACTGTTGTATTAAACTAATAAGCTGTAAGCCTTTCTGAATGAACTCATTCAATTTAGGGTCATTTAGCGTACACTGTGCAGGCAATTGCCTATTATAGTAAGTGATACGCGAATCACTGACTCGCATTACGAGAATATTGTGAAAATAAATTTAACCCGGTGACTTTATCTCCATGTGAATTCAATTCGACTGGTACTACTGAACACTTGTTATTGAAGCGAAGAGACGTATTGTCAGGATACGCAACAGTACAAATACTCTAGTATTGACTTTTTGAATTTGATAATAATTCTTGGTTCTGTGTGATTCTCCAATGATTAGTGATTCCACAGTAGCACTCGTTATTTTACTTCCTAAAATTGATTGCAAGGCGAGTGGAAAGTTTAAGTTCTAGAACAACTACATCTAAAAGCCATGAAAATATGGTTACACTATTATAATTCTATTTGATTAAGTACAAAACAATTTTAGTACTCTTGTGTCTCCTATGTCCTAAGGTACGAAGCACGAAAGATATATTTCAGTAATTTGTATTTTGTACCACGAAAACTGGTGACTTTATAAGACCCCATATATATAATGTACCTAACTTATTCGACAGAATATCCGGCACGTAAAGCAAACCAGGTAAATCTCAAATAAGTAAATAAGATGCCCGAAGCACCTTTATCAGAAATCACCATTCTTTCGTTCAATCAATTCGAAAATTAGTTTCGTTAAGATATTTCTTCGCTTTCCCTTCTCTCGACCCTCAATCTTCAAAAAGAAGCTTAATGTTTCACTAAATTACTAATATTTACATAAATTAACATAACACGAACGTTACAAATTGATTATATGAAGCTACGATCGTTATACCTTAATGTATGTCTAAACGACTTAAGCCAGTACAAGATGATAATCTACATTTTTCAGATTTCTTTTTCGTATATCTGCATACAGTTCATAGTCATATCTCTGGCAATGGCTAGATTAGATTAACTTCTGAGCGTTCCGTGATTAACGGAATATAGAAAAACGTGAGTCTTGGATTATTTTACGTTTTGCAATGAAGATTTCGTGGCGGCTTATGAATAGAACACCAAAAGAAAAGGAAAGACGGAAAGCTGTACGCAATGTCGCGCAACTTAATTTTCGAAGCTGTCTTTTTCTCTGATTGTTCCAAGTAAATTCTACTTTCCATCTAGCCACGACGGCTATTCTTCGATATTGATATCGTACTCGCCATTATTATCATGACACTAAGATTAAAGCTTCTGGCAATTTTGCGTTTTTCCGCAAATAGCATTGATTAAGAATGTTATCCTGAGATTTCAGAACACTTGCGAAATATTTAATCGGTTATAGAGATCTGAGCAAATCCGATTAACGCCTTGTCATCCGGTACCTCGTTAGCAGCATATCCCGAATTCTGAAACAGAAATTCATTGCTTTGTAGCCTCAGAACCTGACCTTTGTAGACCTTGAAAGGACATTGGATTCGTTAAATTTCTCAAAAGATATCGAAACGAATAAAACTCATACTACTTTTGCAATTTCACGATGAATGAAGCATGCACATTGAATGGGCATTCAAGATCAAAAATAATATTCCACTTACCAGGGAAAATGTGACTGTCCGTAACTGGCCGGCACTGTCAATAAGTTTTTGTAAATTTGCTGCAATTACAACAATGTCTCTTGCATCAACAAGACCCGCTCCTACCAGTTCAGCAGCGATTCCTTCCACGGAATCGACACCCACCGCGAATTCGAATCGAATATCGTTAAGTTCACGTTTTTGATTGCTGCGAAACGAAGAAAGAAAAATCAATCGATGATGTAATCCATCTTATAATTTATACAGAACAAAAAGGACTTGATTTACATTTCAAAAGTGGACTAGGAAATAAGAAAAGTAAGTAGGATTATAAAAGGATTCGTACTCGCAGGATTCCTCAAGGCTGAATTGTATATCTGGACGTCTGTAATGGAAAGGAGTATTGAGCAGGGATTGGATCTTCATGAAGTGGAAAATATTGGTCTGGACAAATATGAGTAGAAATGTTTCATATTTAACTCACCGCAATCTGAGTACAAGATTGATGGGAACGTTTTGTTCTGCGGTTGGTATGGCAACACGACTTTGCGCAGACTTAACCTGACCATAATATTCTTCAGGTTCAGGAACCTCCTCATCGCTGCTTCCATTGTCGATAGTATTAACCGGAAGGGTCTCTTTACCCTCTTCGCCACTCGAAGCACCACTATCTTCTTCTTCTGATGACCACACCCACTCACCCGTCACTGTCCTGTGCAAACGGCCGGATGTGCCAGGCTGTCTTTTTGAGGCCTGCCAAGAAAATTAATTGGCATGTAGCATAAGTCTTGGATGGGATCCACAAACGTAAGCTGTTTCCAAACATAACATGTCACTTCAATATTTTTCTTGAGCAATTAAACCAGAGCCTAATTCTGCTCTTATGACGTATTGCGCATATATCCATTCCCAGTTAAGTAAAATATAAATAAATACATTGAAATTATCGTTACCTCCATCTCTTGTCGAGAAGTTCTCCTGACATACTTTCGATACATTTCGTAACACGCTTTAATTTTAACCGACGCGAATTACGATTTTAAATTACACCGTTAATTAAGGTCAAGTATTCACGAATTAGCAAACATACTTTTTGTACTCGAGTCTCGAGGCTGGGTCCGATGGCGACCAGAGTTTGCTGCAAGTACTTCTTATCCTTAGCCTTTTTGAAGAAAGGATGTTTCAATAGTTCCGTAGCCGTCGGTCTGAAAAATAAAAAGCATATGCCGTCACGTTAATGCGTATGTAAATCCGTAAACCAAATATGAAACATGTTAATTAGAACTGCCGACATTTTATTCGCAACACGTTGACCCTGTTGAAGTTAAAGTAGGCAAACCAGGCTTCTAAATTATGCATATGAGTAACTCGTTTTTCAAATAATGTCCATGCATTTTTACATCTAATCTAAATGTTTTGCCTGTGCATAATTGTACATAAATGCTTCTTATATCAAACAGTATGTAATACCTTTTTGTTGGATCCTTTTGCAAACAGTCTACGATCATCTTGCGAAACGTTTTACCATAAGCTTTGTACTGATCTTTGTCATCTGCAGCCGTGTCCAAGGTCGGAGGATCATTTTGCAATGTCAGCATTAACACTTTCATCGGTGGATATTTGTGGTAAGGTGCTGTACCACTTGCCATTTCAATAGCAGTAATTCCCAAAGACCAAATATCGGCTTTGAAGTCGTAGCCATGATCCTGTTTAAAAAATCTCAAAGTAACAATGATTTCCTCAGGATATTGTACTAGAATATAGACTCCATTAAACTCATACTGTTATTCATCTTATAAAGCTTCTCCCAAATAACTGACCTGAAAATCTCATGCTCGAATAACCACTGTGTTATTCGTTTATAAAATATTACATATTAAATCGAACGACACTGAACATACATAAAACAATTCCAACCACTTTGCAAAAAATATAAAAAATTAAAGACAATTGTATCATCCAGCTTCATCAGTTCATAGTGCTGATTTTTCTTCCAAAAGTACTGATTTACTATGCTTCGCAGAGTATAAGTTGTGCAGTCTGCGAACTGTTTTATGCAGTATCATTTGCAATTAATGTTACTGGGCTTATTATACTTTCGTTAATACTAACATTTAATCTGAGCAATAATATTACTAATCAATTTCTGAGAACATTAGTGGGAAATGTAACACCAGCATAGATCGCAGCACTCGCAGGCTAAGAAATGTAACGTAACTTTCCTCTCTCACCTGCTCCATGACCTCAGGTGCCATCCAACACGGCGTGCCGACAAAGGTGTGCCTCACTTTTTGTCTACTCAGATCTCGACCCGTTGCCAGCCAAGCGCTTACGCCGAAATCAGCGATTTGGACGGTCCCATCCTCCCCCAGGAGAATATTACCAGCTTTTATGTCCCTGTTGAATAGAAAATGTTAGTGACGAAGAATGGAGTAACAGCCTAATGAAAATAAATAGACACTCATGAAATTTCTTTAAGATCTTTAAGAAGGGCGATAGCGCGCGTCTACGAATTCACGCGAGTAACGTGTATTGGAAATCATTTCTATTTGAGCATATAAGTATCTCGTCCATGTTCATAAATATAAAGTCTCTGTCTTAATAAGTATAGAACACCTGTGTATTTGTCCATTACTGTGAAAATACTCAAGACCCTTGAGTACCTCCCGAAGTACCGTTGCTATTGTAGGTTCATCAAACACACCGTGTTTGCAATTAGTGGTTCTGGTTTTATGTTTGATTATGTCGAGTAAAGATCCACCTTCCAGTAATCTTAGGACGAGCCAGAGCTCTTCTTTCACCACGAAGGACGTGTAGTACGTTACTACGTTTTCGTGATTGCAAGACGACATTGCCTGAATTTCTTTCTGCAATCACATTAAAAACAGACAGATGTATTACTTATCTTATAAGTCAACCAAGTCTACTGTCGAACGCCTAATAAACGGTGTAATTCTTTTTTTTTTTTCATTACGTATCAAGTGTGCCCCACCAAAAGTAATTATTTAAAAATCAGTAAAAAATACGCTTTACTCGACACAAATTTATATACCATTTTTTTATTTACTATCGTTGATATGCTATCAAAAAAAAGATTTTTTGAAACGTAAAACTGAATGCGCGATATAAAATAATTTCATTCATAGGAGCAGCAGCGTTATCCTGAACGATAAATAATCCAAGAGCGTAAAATTCAAAAATAGATATTAACGTTCATATTTCATGACAATTATGATAAGAATAATCTAATACCATTTAAGCTGTTAGTCGTATAAAGTTTAAAGTGTCAGTAAGATTCGCAAGGCCTTTGAACTTGATGCCCTTTCTTGATTTCTTATTTTAACGGTTTTAAACAGCAATTAATAACCAAGATTGTCTTACCAATAACTCGTCCATACTCGTATTCCATTTTTCCAGATTGATTCGTTTGATCGCACATTTTTCTTGGCGGGGAATGCAGAAAGCGGCGTGGACTACTGCAGTTGCGCCGACACCTAAAAAATTTGAAAAATATTTTTGTCAGTCGCCAACCAATTTTTTCCTTTTCTTTATTTGCATAATACTTTAGAATTTTTTACAAGAGCTTCTCATTCGTTTGTATGAAGAATTGCCACATTTTCACATTCCAACGCACGAAAATAAACTAAATCGTGTGACGCAATGCACAAGGTAATCTGGTTATCAAAATCGATAGAGAAAACATTGAGTGTGACGAAAGCAAAAGGTATGCATTCAACGTAACAGCTTGCTATCCAACGACAAAAACATCTACCATTGCTGTACAGTATACATATATTAATATATGGAATAAATCTACAGACGTGATTCAGCTATATACGTGTGTATGTACGCACTTACGCGCGTTCAGTTTGTATATTAAACCCTTTGCATTTTGTAGGTGGTTTAGGGCACTCGTGTATTGATTCTATGGTGATACACAATCTAGCTTGACTATCAGTCATTGAGATTAGATTTTCTACAATACCTGAGTTGAAGGACATTTATTTAAATTACTGCTAAGGGACAAGATAATTACATTTTTTTTCGTTCGTTTGCTAAGACCTAATAAAAATTGGATCATCCAATTTAAAGAGTAAATAATTCTTCAGGTATAATCTCAAGTTGTAAATTACGCTATATCTAGTATGTAACAAGATGTTTGCCGACTTAATTGCTGGCAACTACGTAGTAAGAGACTTGCTCAACAAACGCCCACTAACAGATTATTAAATTTGAATCTCTTAATTATTTTGTTTTTGCATCATCTTAAAGGGACCATTAACATACCTCGTATAAAAACTAATTAAATTATTGAAATATTTCAAAGGGAATTTAGAACGTACCCAAATAAAAGGCGATCAGGGGTTGGAATGGGAGAAGAATTTTGACTCTGCAGTTTCTAAAAAATGTTACCTCATTCACCAATTGATAAGTTATGTATGTTCACCCTGATCTGCATTATAGTACTTATAAATCAAGATTCACAGGAAATTTAATTTGTGGGAGATAAGATAAATTTTCTTTACCAACGAACAAGATAAATAGTCAACATAGGTTCTTGTCGAGTTTTTAGTTGTTTATTTTCGACGAAATTGTCGCATGAAATTTGTACGTCTGTGATAGATATTAATATGCAGAGTGTCATATGGTAAACGAAGAAGTGGACAATGTGCCCTATTAATGCCATGAAATGAACTAATGTGTCCAATTAGAATATCGTTATCAACATTATCGGACTGATGAATATTGATGTATATCACAAGCCAGCATTCATTCATTTAAACTTGTACCTATTAAAACAAAATGCATAGATGTGTGGTACTAAATATTACGTTCTATGTCGCTTTCTATCAATGAAAACAGTACCGTCGTGAACTAGTCATAATTAAATATCCATACGAATAATTTAATTGCTGCATGATTCATTGCTTATCTTTCTTTGTAACGTGCATTCTCTTAGAAACTATTGAAAAATGAGTTTAGCAACGTATGAAAAAAACAATGCCCCATTTCACAATATCAATAAAAACGTGAACACGAACGCTAAATGTCATTCATTACTTGTTTAACCCCAAGATACATAATTCATAATAACTTCAGGAATGACCAAGCAAATATGTATGTGAAATGTATCATTTAAAATGTTATGTTTACGAACGAAAGCAGAATATCAATTAGTTCTAAATAACGATTCAACGTTAACGGTAGTTAAGTGTAATAAAGAAGCACCTGTAGTTCTTCGGAACTACTAAAGTGCCTGCATACGGGCCCGAGGATACGTCAGACAAAGGCAATTAGACGAGTAAATAAACCGTCGTAAAAATAATTCTGTCGACCCGTAAGCGACTGGTAAGAAGGCTGAAAATTTCACATGTGTTTCGAACAAATGTTTAATCGAACAATAAGAATCAGCAAGAAGGTGCGGCGGAAGATATGGGTATTGTAACGAGGGAAAGAAGGGATGCGTGACAACAATATATGCATGCAAAAAGCACGTACGAACCTTTTCAAAAGCATTGACCGCGGGCTAGTTATATTTGCTCAAATCCATCCTACCGCGGGCTAAATAGGTTAGGACTTTCGCGGGCCGGTTTTATCCAAAAACTAAAAGAAACTTCAGGTCGGCGACCCTACCCGTCTAATTATAGAAGCCGTTACTCATGATCACTCAAAATAGCTGAAAAACGCGCACTTTACGTCTGATATACACGTTTTTATGTAACAACTGACGTAGGATGTCAGTCTCAGATTCGCGCCGGCTGATCTAACCAACGGATGCGAGTCTTTCGATGCAAACAATGTGAAAGGGAATGAGATAGCCCAAGGAACTGGCTGTATGTCGATATTTACCGATAACTTCTTTGAGTTCGTAGTCGTCTTTGGTGTTAGGCCAGCCCTGTACGACCGCAGTGGAGCTCGCAGACGCCATTTTGTTGGCCAGTACCGTGCCGAGACGCGAGTGTTTGCTGGTGACTCTGGTGCCCCGAGGACCCGGTACTCCACCACTCTTCGTATGTGAATTTTCTCTTGGCCGATTCTCTTGATTCGACGTCGCGACGCGTCCGCGCTCTTTATCCTTCTTTAAGGACGATGTCCACTCGCTGTTCGTCGGCCGCGTCGTCGCCGAGCGAAACGATTTCTGCCGAAAGATTCCTGGCGAACACGATGGCAACACGTCGGGCGAAATTTTCCTGCGTCAGAATACTGCACATTAAACAACATTTACGTCATACGGATTTCAAACGGCTTATCCAGTTGACTTTAAAACACATACAAGTTATTCTATAGAAATTCTAACTGTATACAAGTTATTATAGAACAAACTGTAACTGCCTACACTGTTTATATAATATAACAGGAACAATTAGAGAACCATTTTAGCCGGTGCTCTTTGGACATTTGAAAAGCAGAGTCCACTGTAATGTCCAGCCTGTCAATTTAAAATGACAGAACAAATGAGGATCATTGATGCTAATTGATATGATACGTACTCTAAATAGCTTCGATACTTTCACGAAATCAGTAACTCATATCTTTATACAATATCTATATTGTAAATAAAAGTAAGCTGGATGCCTTCGATTAAGAATGTGGAAATCCTATGTCTAATGCATATAGTAATCCTTACTTAATCCTAATGCGGATTTACAAGAAACTTTGGAATACTTTAATGAGCCAGTAATTAATATAACCTTCCCAGCAAACACATGCGGTAATCCTTATTTAAATATACGTGTAAATAAATTTCAAAATCATCTATATATATTATTGATATTTAATTTAGTGACCGTATCAGCAACCATAGCCACGTGTCAACACATTCCTTCGCCAAATGCAGAGACCAATATCATGAATTATTCGGTTTGCGCAAAGGAAAGCTGCGCTTCTCCATAATCTTCCATTTTTATCGCGCACATATTCAACCATCGAGAGGGAAGTAATATAGGCCAGTAAGTGTTTATTTTCATAATCGAAAATCAAAGTACACTTTCAGAGAAACAGTCAGAAAACGGAAGTGCGCTTTAACGAAACATTCATAAATAAGTTATCTATTTTGAACTTGTTTCTTCAATAATATAGAATAAGGTATACGATTGCCGATAATAATGCTTTATAATATTTTCAAAGGCGAAAACTCATTAAAACGAATAGTCATCGATTACTGCCTAAGTTCAAAAAATGCGCGATAGCGTCGCTGTTAAGGGTGGGATCGAACTCTACACGAAATAATTCTATACGATTACCTCGTGTAGAATTAATCTATGTAGTTTTGGGTCCCACTCGTTAAAGTAATTATATCGGCCGACCAGCAATGCTACTGAATCGAAATTCTGTGGATAGTCACTTAACCACTGGCAATACTGATATGTAACTATTATCTGGACGATGGCCTGGTTAATGTATATTACTTTATTTCGATTGGTCGAATTAAATCAGCAGTAGTTATATTCCAAATTCGTTATGGATTTTCCCGAACTACTAAATCCATTGATTAATTATCGATACGATTCTCAGTATCAGATTGCCTGTGTTTATACAAGCCGACCTGGCAACAATAAATGACTATCCAGAGCACCGTTTCAATTGTGTACGTGGAAACCATATTGCTAGACTCAGTCGGTAAGTGTGGATGATACCTTTATGACTTCTGTAAACTTCCTCTTACAATTTAGTTTAAAAACATTTTTCAGCTGCTGTACTATACCTTCATGAAAACCGTAATAAAGAATAGACAGTATTTTAATTTCATGTTAGGTGACTAAAATGTTCTTATGTAGCGACAACTTTGAAAGTGACAGTTTTCTATAATTGACACCAGGGAGAAATTATCACGAGGTGTCAATTGAGTGTAAAGTTAATTGTCGTCTTAACCTGATAATTTATTTCTTCATGTTCGTTTCTCCCTGTTATCATCGCTGTACTGAATTGGTAGAGAGATACCTTTGTTTACACATATGTATCGGCTTATCAGTAGACTAATGAGTGAAAACAAAAAAAACTTTCTAGCTGTGACCATCACATAGGACCAGCAACAGAAATTAATAACAGTGTCGATACAGGGAGATTATTATTACAGTGTGATTTATCGGAGTGGAGAAGTTTTGAATTCCCTGGCGAAAGGACATAACGGCTATGATACATAACACATATATTACGATTAATTGAAACGCTTTCATTGTTGCTGTAACAAGAAACACGTGAGTCAGGCCAGTTGGGATCAGGCAAATTAAAGCCCTTATTGACATCAGGGCGATGCGTTGTGGCTGCGATTGTTTCAATTAACATGATTAGAGAATTCAATTAAGCCACGCGCACCCGGAAATCTAATATGGGCCGGTTATCGCTCGAGTATTTGTGCAAAGGATTTTCGTGGCTTTTCATTTTTTACGCAAATGGATTATGATCATCCGATGTACAGGGTTTCCGACTATAAAACACCATGGGAATTGGACAGATGAATTCAGTGCTTTACATCAATCCCCACGCTTCACATCCATCAAGCATATTCAAATAATTTAGTTAAACTGCATCGCGTGAAAATCATTTGCGGCACAATGAAAATACTTCTAGTAAGTCCACTTGATTTTCTCCCATTCAATTGTCTTTCGCTAGTGTCTGTCTCTATGTGCGTCGTCCATGAACGTCATATGGTAACCGTGACCAGACATTATTTATCGACCGATCATTACCGATCGATTGGAATCCTTTTTTCAAGTGACATTCTATTTTCCTGGCGTTCTATTTGAAACAGAAAATTGACAATGTGCTTGAATACGTTGTGACAAAGAAGTGTTTTATGATTTTTATATCTTATTTAATTGTCTTGCATGCCATGAAGAGAGACCAGCTGTAATTAATCAAATTACGAATGACTTCGAATATCAAAGTGACGAAATTTTGTGAAATATCTTAAAGCCTTTTTTTAATGTACACAGAACAAGATGGTATCTATCTAATTAACTTAGCGATTAGCATAGTGTGGCAAGCCACTGATACCACTGAATCCCGCGTTTTCAAAATAATTTTTAAACAATTATTTCTTATCACCTGCTCGACCGTTGATCGATCACAATCGATCCTTGGCTTACTGCGATATTCTCAATATGTGAACACACTGCGTTGAGCCTCGGTAATTTTATACATTCACTCGAAAGTCTCACCTACTTCTGCCGAGTACCAAAGTTGTCAGAAATCTGCTGTCTTGAAACTTCAGCTGCTCCTCCTCCGGAGCGCCGGTAGTCGCGGCGCTCAACGCCCCCGTCTTACGTTGGCGCATGTTGTTGACCACCCTGCAAACAGAGCAACATCTTTGTAAAACGTATTGCCTAGTACAAGGCGCCAATTGCTTCATACTTTTATAAGAATTCTTAAAGACGTATACAAATGTTAATTTCTTCTTTTTATAAATCAAATCCCTAAGGTATCAACAACAAAGGGCTAAAAAAAACCAAAGAATTACTTTATGGATTTTTGTACTGCGTATGCAGATTACATTCGATGTACTGCACCGTTGCTCAGAGTGCCTGACTAAGCGTGTGGAATATTTCTAAATTGACGGTCGGTCGATTGTCACCTAAATACCTAAATGGAATAATTGGGCCTGGATTGGCCTTACTCCCTATTTTTAGCTACTATCAAGGGGTAACCCCATCCTGTCGGCTAAAAATAGTCCTGTACCAAGTTGTTCGATGCTCGTTTTCACCTACGTAGTTCAGCAAACGCGATATTTCTGAAAAAAAAACGGCAATTCGACAACCTTACTTTCAAGAAATATTTAAATATTTTACCAGCGCATAATTAATCGTCCCTGAGAGAGACGTGTTTTCAAATGCAAAGTGAGTACCGCCAGTTTTCGAATTTAAACAATATTTTTCAATTTACCAGACGCGCAATGCCCGGACGTGTGAAGTACGACCTCCAGCGATATTTGGGTTAAAAGTTTAATTCACCGAACACTTCTATGACAAAGATGGCAGCGTGGATATTAATTCAACTCTACAAACTCCATCCCTACTCGCAACCCACGTTCAATTTGTGTTATTCCCCTAAAATTCCTCTGTCTTCCTTTCCGTCACGTTTCACCTTCCTAAGTGGCCTCATCCCGAAACAAGTGTCACGTTTTTTAAGAATTTATTCATGAATACAATGAAAAGCGTATAAAACCAACCTTTGAACTATAGAATTATTCATTTAAAAAAACTCTTGTACGTCTACGTATCCGCAGTAGAATAAATTCTATAATTTTAAATACTTTCCCAAAATCGATTTACGATGAACGCAAAGAACATAGGCACAAGAGTACCCAAAGCACTTTAGACGAGGATACTAAGTGATTTTACAAACCCCACTAAAAGCCTCATAGTACGTCGTAACACTACTTTCAGGGTTTACATAAAATTACAACCAATTTGCCCGTTATACCTACCCGTTCATTCTTGGAACTCGTGAAAAAAAAAGTTTCCTTCAATTCCTCGTTCGATGCCGTAACGTGAATTAAAGTTGCTTACTTTAATTCTCTTGAAGATAATATCCTTATGCATATCATACGATCACCTGAAATACATTTCTTACTAACGTTAATTTATGACGTTTAGCTGATCGTTATACTCCCGTTGCATTTGTGTAAGCAAATATGTTTTCGATTACCATCAGGAATAGTTTTAAATAGATCCCGTAATGTTAGCTGTTGTTATTATTACAGTTATTTGTTATCTATTACGATATATATTACAGTCATGTGTATCTCAAAGACTTTTCTTATTATCATCTTCGCCGTAAATATACGGTTGTCCTTTGAAAAGAGTTTGTAACGGTATTTGAAAATATTTTAGACACTTCGAACAAGGAAATAATTTAATGCAATATAAAACTGACGTCGAGCAGATTAATCCGTTATTGCATAACTGCAGGAAGTTTTGAAAGAGAAATCTTTATAATTTTTTAATAGCAGCCCTCGTCATTGAAACCTTTAGCCGAGGGTCAATTGCTTATTATCTCCGTCAGCGGTAACGAGTACTGAAACGTTTTAGTGCCGCGTAAAAAGAGAGAGTAACAAAAGAGTCTTGCACCTTATTTTCTTTAAACTATTATTAGAACCGGTAACGATAAGGAAATAATAACGTTGCCCAACAAAGTAACTCGTGTAGATGAATAAATGATGATACACGAATTTGAATATTGTCACATATTTTTTTGTCTTAACGACGATTAATAGTGTCAAAAAATTTTTGAAATACTGTCAATTGATTTATGGTAATAAGTAATATTTTTAACTCACCTGTCAGTCGCTGACTTGATAGATCCGATGAGGCAGAGATCGGCTGCCATGTCAAAGTTTACACTGTGACATATTATTCGTAAAATCACAAGCAAACGAGGGTACGTGAAAAAAAAAAGACAGAATCCCACTTTACTATTAATTTATAATTATTCGATTGTGCACGGACTTTTAACGTCGTCATGGAAAATCCATTGAATCAATTGCATATCCTATCGAAGCTTTACGAATCGCGTTGATATATCGAAACATCAGATCATGAAACTTTTCACCAATCGAAAGGAAATTCTCGATTTCCTATTTCACCGAATATTACGGCTGCTTTATTGGTAAGGTAAATTCGTCACTCTGTATGAGATGTCAGATCATCCTAAGTTCGCCATCGACTGAACTATGTCAGACGGGGCACTGTCAATTGGATAACTACCTACTACACATTAACGTTATACGTGTTGAATACACGTCGCTGATACTTACATTCACATACTGTCTTCACAGTAACTTTTGTTATTGTCATAAGATTTTTTCAAAGGTAGCAACTTCTCTACTTCTCTCTAATTACAATTCCCTCCTACGAAGTTACGACACAATAAGAATCTTTGCGGATGTACAGTTTGTAATTGAAGTCGTTCCCCTAATTGCAGGAGAAATGAATATCATTAGTCAAAATAAGCTAATAAAAATCTTATTAATGTAATTGATATACGTAGCGATATAGGTTATGTTTTTGAATTTTACACCGGAAAAAGAATAACCAACTTGAATTACTTGTTGATTTAAAATATAATAAAATCACATGGCTTATGACATACATTAGAAAGTACGATTGGGGATATGATGATTTGGCATGATTTCCTTAATGATGTGTTTCTTAAAATATATTATTTTTATGTTGGTTAAGAGATTTTTGAAAATTTTTCTTCCTCCTGACACCAGTAACCTATCGGGGACTTTCCGACTATCATTATAGAAGCCTCATAAATTAATAGAGCGACCTGGGGAAGAATAATCTATCCCATACGGTATGGGTACTTCGGATTAATCAAGGACGACCTTGTGAACTGGCTAATACTGAATTTCGCGGGAAATGTAGTGTCTTCTCCAGTTCACTATTACTTCCCACTTCGAATGCGATAATCGCGAAAAATCATCGAATTGACATTCACAATATCAATGTACATACATCAAGGTCATATGTCACCAATGAAATGACAAGAAGCACACGAGCAATATATAGACTCGTCTAGTGAAAAAAATAATATTAAATAATTCTAATCGTATGTTATCTATCATTATTTGCACTTGCAGATCACGAAAGTAATCCTACTGTCCTATCTTTCATGCGCCATGGCCGATAGACTAAATCATACTCGGCTACTAGAAAAAAGCCTGCCTCGACAATCACGTGTCTCGCGACTCCTGCAGGAGCTGCCATCGTCGAATTTTTTCAGCGACATTGTTTATCTTCCAGAAGAAGACTACGACGAGGAGTTTGAGAGACGTGAGCAGGAATTACAGCAGCTGGAAAGAAACGATAGGAACTTGATGCCGGTAATTATTTTTTATTGTACTATATTGGAGTTTTAACATACATACAAAGGTAATTATATTTGGATTTGTAAATAATATAACATATTTTTTGGGTCGATTTAGGAATATCGTAATCTATGTGAGATAAAGACAAGGAAAGTACAACTTAACGATGGGGACTTTGAATATCAACCTCCACATTATCATGAAGTATTTTGCAAGGTGCATTCCTTCTTGGAAGATCAGCCTACCGTTAAACCCGCGAAGCAGGTAAACAATTGCTGACCATATACTATATTCTTATGGATCGTTTAAGGAAATATTTTGTATTTATTAGAAATGTGCTCACCCGGGATTTCATTGCGTTCAGAGGAGTCGGACTTTATTCATGCTCAGACGTGCTTGGGATAGCGAGTGCTGGGAACCGTTTACTAAGGAAATTGCTAGTGGATGCGATTGTATGTGGCCTGTTTCCACTCTGGGTGATATCACAGCTCACTACTGATTTCTATTAAGGGTGGACATAAATGCATAATGTAAGGGATCGTTCTTACAGTGCAATTTCTTTGAAAAAAGTGCAGCTCAACTGTAGGGATTTGTGAATCATTTAGAACAATTGCATTCGTAATAAATGAATTTATTGTATCAACTTCGTAAACTGTGACTAGCACTATAAAATAACATTTTGTATTAATTTACAAGATTGTTCTTGCCATCAATGTACTGTGTCTGGATTTGTGTGAAATAAGAAATTATATGCAAGAATTTATTATAATCTAGCATCAAGAAAACGTCCGTGTCTTATCAGTGAAAACAATTACATAGTAATTAGTTCTCGAAATCACTAATAGAATTTATCTGAGTTATAGTCTGATTAAGCATATATATTTCTTTATATTTATTTATTTATGAACAACTATCATACTTCTGACAGGAAATCAACGGAATAAAAGTGTTATTTTTCGAATGTTTTATTGTACAGAACTTGGATTACAGTTCATTATTATTTCCATGAGTTTGCCTTGTGTTTTGGCAAGAAGTGAAAGCCATCGGGAACTTTACCAAGTAACATTTCACTGGAAGTACGAAATAAAAGTAATTATTACAAGTCCACGTAATATTAACACAAATCAATTATTGTATTGATAAAATATCCTTACGATATTTTAATCCAATCAGCACAATTCGAGCTGGCCATCATCGTTTCCATATCGTCACGCCCTCTATAATATGGTGGTCTTTCATTAATTTTTTGTGGAGGCCGTTCTAAAATACCCACAGGAATATACCTACATGACCCAAAATACAATGCATATAAAAATGAAAGAAAAAACAAATTTGTTAGTAATGAGAAATAAAATATTTCTTACCTATGAAGGAATGAAATCCATTCCAGCATGAATCTCCTAGTTGTTTCTACTCCTCTAGTATCAGATCCCCAATGCTCTAGTCCATAATTCGCATATTTCCGCAAAATTTCAAATCTTTCTGAGCTTGGAACATCCATCAATTTCCTTTCCTTAATCTCCGTAAATATCCACGGTTTTATAAGAGCACCTCGTCCTATCGTTACGCCTTGTATAGTAGGATAACTCTTTCGCAGCCTGTCATAGTCTTCAAATGATAGCACATCGCCATTTCCATATATAGGAATGGGTTCTGCTGCACGAGCACATTTTTCAATATATTCCCAATTAGCCAACTTCGTATACCTTTGTTCCCGTGATCGGCCATGTACCTTTTTAAATATTTACCTTTTAGCGACACAAATAAATTGCAGTGACTCATCACTGAGTTCTATTGATTCGTAGACTTGATATTTGCAGTAAAAATAAAGTTTACTTACAGTGATCATGGATGCGCCCCAATTTCGAAATTTAGGTGTCAAGTTATGAGCGATTGGTTTATCCATATAGACACCCATTCTTGTTTTAATTGTTAAAGGAATAGTTAAAACTTGACTGACAGATTTGACAACAGTTTCTAAGACGTTTAAACGATTTAGCATACCGCTACCACCACCTTGCCTATAAATCAAATCTATCGGACAGCCTAAGTTTAAATCAACAAAGTCGATCTCAGCCTCTTGGTCTAGCAGCTGGGCACATCTCGTCAATACTCCTGGATTGTTACCACATAATTGTACACCGAAGATATCTTCACATTCATGCCGCTTTACCAATGCCCATTCTTCGTGAGCGCCTTTTAAAATTTTCGGAGCAAGTGCCATTTCACCACATGTAATATCTGCTCCATACTCTTTACATATTCGTCTAAATGGCAAATTTCCAACAGTTGTTAATGGACTCAATAATACTTTATCACGCCATTGAATTTTCTTTTTTTCAGTGGGACGGAGTTTTATAAGATCTTCGTCGGATACCGCTCCGACTTTAGGTTCATTTATTGATTTTTCTATGACTGGATAAATATTCTGTACTAAGTCATTGTTTACCGTCTCTGTATTAGATCCATTCCTAATATCAGTACGTATCGGTATTTGACTAGGATCATTATTGTCGTTTGACTTTTTTGTTTCTGATTGTTCCGAACCTTTCTTTTTAGACACATCATTGGCTTTTACCAGTTTTTCAGCCTTTGAAAAATTGTACTTATACTTTCTAAGGCGATTTTGAAGGTCCTTTGGTATTTGATTTTTTGTCGAAGGTGATTTATTCTTGTAGGCTTCAAATTTTTCTTTGTCAACAATATTGAAACCCTCTGGAGTCAAATGCTTCGATCCCATTCGGCAAGCTAGACCTCTCGGACATCTGCCAGTCAAATTAAAAATATGACATTCCTTACCTATATCACCTGGCTTGATTTTTAAGTATTCGGCACGATCATGCATGAATGTGCATCGCCCATTTTGGCATTTTTTCTCAGGCTCATCAGTTGTCTGGTCCACCATCCATGGACATAAATTTAGCTCTCGAGGAGCTTTAAATGGTGGAGGTCGAGCTTTGTTTTGTCCTTTCAGTTTCCCTTTTTTGTCATCAGATTTGAACTTTTTTGAAAGAGGTTCCTCTGGTTCTTCGGTTTTAACATTATTGCTTTGCAATACTACTTTCTGTTTATCAGCCTTTGTTAAGCATTCTTCCGTTAAAAGTCTGATGTGATCATCCACAATGAACCTATAACAAGAAATTAATATTTAATACAGATCATACTGGCATCAAAGTAATATGTATGTGATATCAAATTGAAATCTAATTCATAATCACAATAAATACTGATAAAATACAACATACTTGTAAGTACTACAGAACAATGTCAAAGTATGGATAAACTAAGGTTACACAATGGTACTATTTAAATTGCACAAATTATATTGAATATGGGGATATTTTTACGATAGTCAATTAGAATATAAATAATTGATTACTCACTCGGGCTTGATAGCACATACTCCTTTCTGTTTATCTTCATTATAATCAAATGAACAATCATCGGCACATTTTGCACTGTAATCTGCCATTTTAGAAAATGCAACAGATTTTAACAGATTGTACAGTTTTTAAAAGTATGAATTGAATGTTCTGTTCGTACGTATGAAACATCATTTGGTCAACATCTTATGAAGAAACAAGTAAAAATTATGATCGATTCTGAATTACTGAAGTACATATTCGAATCCGACTATCTACAAATTGATTTGCATTATTTTAGATGAATGAGAACCACGGCTGCAAATATGAGCAAGTAGTCATATGTATATCAAACTGGATAGTTGAGCAGAGATAAACATGCTTCCCAATTTTCATTCAAAATGTCACGTAAAGTTCATGTCAAATAGTAATTACTCTAATAGTGATTTAATGGCCAGAATCAAGAGGAAGCTTTGCTTTAAAATAAAAATACCTATATTGTTAGTGTTACTGTTATTCATTTTGTTGTGTGTACACTACATGAAACCTGTCAAATGTTCACTAGACAAGGATAATGAGAAGAACAAGCCAAAATATGAATTACTCATTGTTATATTGACAGCACCTGATAACATGGAACGTAGAAATATTATAAGAAGGACTTGGATGTCAGAAAAGTATAGCTATGTGAAATATTTCTTTGCCATAGGCACTGTAAATATACAGCAAGCACTTCACGAGACACTTCAGTCAGAAAATCATAAGCACAAAGATCTCCTTCTGCTACCTACATTAAGGGATTCCTATAACACAATCACTAAGAAAGTGTTATACTCCTTTAAGCAACTCACAGAGGACTATGACTTTGACTTTTTGTTAAAGTGCGATGATGATTCTTACGTGGTAATAGAATCTCTTTTGAAAGAATTAAGTAAATGGCAAAGCAGAGGAACTCAAAAAGAATTATATTGGGGCTATTTTAATGGAAGGGCTCAAGTGAAAAGGCATGGACCTTGGAAAGAGACTAACTGGATACTATGTGACTATTATTTGCCATATGCACTTGGAGGTGGATATGTTTTATCCTCTAATCTAGTCAAATTCATAAGTAGAAACTGGGAGGTTTTAAAGTAAGCAGGACCAAATATTAACACAAGATGTTTAATTAAGTAAAAGTTTAATCTACCTCTTTGATTTTTTCTCAGGATATACAGCGCGGAAGATGTATCAGTTGGTGTCTGGTTAGCACCCTTAGCTAACATTGAAAGGAAGCATGACACAAGATTTGATACGGAATATCAATCCCGTGGATGCTCCAATGATTATATAATTACTCACAAGCAGAGCATTCAGAAGATGCAATACATGCACGAGCTATCTGCCATAACACGAAAATTATGCTCAAAGGAACTAATAATTCATAAGAGTTACCAATATAATTGGACAGTTCCACCTAGTCAATGTTGTAATCGAGAACAGGATGTTTCTCCGAAAGGGTCCTAGTAGGTGATGTAATGAGGAATTCTGTTTTCTAAGTCTAATGAACTGAGATAATGAAAATGTTCATAACAATATTTATATAAGACTGATTATTTTGAATATATATCTAGTTTCCAATAACTGTACATGAAATATGATCATAACATTTGCCGATCATATAAGCGAAGTTTCGAATTGACATTTTCCTTACTTAAAGTGTGCCTCAATAGGGTTACTAAAATATTATAGATATAAAAGCGAATAATCTTTCATGTAAATCTTCAAATTCCAAATTTTAGCGTTCATTTACGTTATAATGTATTATTTTTAATAACAAAAATATAGATCATTTATGTTATGTATTTTGGTACAAGAAATCGATTCACGCAAGAATCAATGTCTACTGTGTATCATTATTTAAAAGAGCGGTATAATAAAACGAGTGATATTAAGAAAGGACGAAGAATTGAATTATTGATTTTTACACATATGGTCAAATTACAACGGTTCTACTTTCAAATGGTAATGTACTGTATTCTCCGCGTACGATGCTTACAAAAATACATTACTGGAATAGAGTGACAGTAGTTCGCAGACTACTCTTTTCTAAATCAAATATATTTCTTATTAATTATATATTCTACTTATGTTACATTTGTTGCTTCGAGATCTGACGGTCGATGCTATCCAGTACCAATATACATTCATAAAATATAAAAACAATAATTAACTATTATAATTGAGAGTATAATTGCAATTTAATACTATATGATAGGGCAATATTTTCATAATCATGTATAGCAAACCACAGATATTCAAAAAACGGCCAAATACAATTAAAATATAAAAAGTGTAAAATTCTTCGGACATTAATTAAATTAATAAATACTACCCTGGGTTGTTAAAAAAGAAAAACAATGTATTGGCCGATTCTCAAAATGTTTGATCGCTGTGATAAGCTAGTACATACGCAATTTTCATTACATCAAAAATTGGAAGCAGATCAGTATGTGAACCTTCAATCATAAACTGATTTTTGTAGTGCACTGTTAGCACCGCGTATAAGTGCCATACATCGTTCACCATAAAATTCTGTACACAGTACAAAAGTTTATGGAAATTTTAATATATAACTTATTAAAATTATAAATCTTTGCGCGAGTCCGATGTATGTGAATTATAAATATACGCTTCCAAGGTTAGATACAATGAAGACGCAATATTAAATGTTTCATAAAATTTCCTATTTGTTATATAGTTCAGTTTTAGTTCATGTCAAAGCATGAAATCATTAACGAACTAGTTTTAGAAATAGTGTACGATGGAGTTCCTTTTAGAAAAAAGTGCTTAGCACTTTTATTCTTTATGCATGGAGAATTACTTCTTCTTTCGATCTTGTGTACATTTTGGACAATACCATTTGCCTTTAGGCTTTGTAGTTAGCCCAACGCAGGCAAAGTGAAACCATTCAATAGGGCACTGGAAGGAAATATATGAGATACTATAGTAATCATAATCTTTATAGTGATATACATATAAATATTTTGTCGTACTCACATCTGGATTATCACAACCAATCATTTCACCATACGACACCTGATGGCAAAGACAGTAAGTGGGTTCATTTGGATCAACAGGCATATCCAAAACATCTGCTGGATGACCTAAAGCACTAGTATCTGCTTGAGCACCACTACCTACAGCACCAGTTGCAGCTGCCGAAGTAACAGAACCACCTGAAAAAATTGAGAATTATTGAATCAAAATATATCATTCTAAAGGCACTTCATAAATTAAAAAGACATTCAATATAAAAAATGAATTTTATGTAACATACCTTTCTTTTGCTTCTTCCGTGCATTTTTAGATTCGTCTTCACTACTAGCTCCTGTCGTACCCTTCTTTCGCTTTTCCTTCTCTTTCAATTTTTTACGACCCTTTTTACTTGCATTACTTTCCTCCTGTGCCCGATTACTGTTCGACGCTTTTTCCTGTATCTCTGCTTCAAATCTAGCCAAGTCTGAATCCAGCCTTCGGATATGCTTGTCCACTAATTCATAAGTTTGTATTGCAAGTTGCACCTTGTCATCCCCATATTCTTTAGCTTTATTGAAAAGACTTTGAATATGACTAAGTTGCTCTTTTTTCTTCTCTTGTGTTTCCTTATTAATGTTCTTCAAGTAATCATCAGCTAATTTGTCAATGTCTTTCATAAGTCCTTGAGCTCTGGCATCCAAATCCCGCATTAATGTGAAATTCCTTTGCAATTCAATAGGCAGATGTTCTAGACCTGAAAAAAATTATAACCAAATCGTAGAAGATAGTATTTATTTTTATTTTTCAAAGCATTTGACAAAACAAGATTACAAGTTGAAGCCAATGTAATTCAACGTCGAAGTGACAACATTATCTGTGCACAATCATTTGTTTTATGACAATACTACTAACTACTGCAGTTAATTGATAAGCAGCACAATGCCGCAGAATTATTACATTACTGTTTGTTATGACTAATGCAAGATATGTTAAACATATAGAAACACAGCCTTTCCCTCCGAGACACTTGAAATAGATTACTTTTTCGGCTGAACAACTAGGCAGAAATACTCACTCTCTAAATAATGCTCTAAATACAACGCAGTCGTCATGTTTCTTGTAAATTCTTAATAATGCGTTTCTTCAACACTTCTCATCCAATATACCCGTAGAAGTTCTTGTTCAGGCATCAATAAACAGAATATATTTCAAAGTTTTGATACGACATTCTCGAGATTATCAGTCAGTCACTACACAGGAACGATCAATGGTCACAAAAGGCGGAATGCAATGGAAGTGTGTCCACTGGTGTCCACTATGGCAGCAGGTAGCAGACGAACGTATGCTGTACAAACTGACGTAAAATAATCATTTAACTACGCAAAAGTTCCTTTGATCCTAAAATGAGATGATTTTGAATGATTTGTCATCGTAACCGTTAAAAATGTTCATGCCATAAGATTTCTAAAAAGTTTTATCTGCACATTCAATATGGATTATTTCCCGCCATGTTATTATTGCGGATATGTTGAAAATTTACTCTAAAATAATATTATTTGGCTCTCAGTTTTTTGGAATTGTATAAAACGCGAGTTTCTTAGATACATGCACTTATGCTTTCATTATTATTTCTTGAAATACTTTCAAGATTGTATGACATTCACGTAAATTCTTTGTCGAATTAATAGGCATTACGTGTGTCACTTTGGGAACCCCTGTTGGTGGATTCATGATGGTTGCCCTGATTCTTACAAGGTAGATGTGGATGATGTGTCGATAGTTCAAAATATATATATTTTTGTTGATAAGGTAAAAACAATTCGAAGGAAATTTCAAATTCCTCGTATTTTTTATGCGTAGCCTTTGCACTAACGCGGAAAGGAAAAACTAAGTGTTTTTACACGGTGATCAGGGAATTTCGAAATACTTTTGACAGGTGAGTTCTCTTTAGCATTCTTTTCAATTGCATTTAACCAATTGGTATATTCTATTATTGTCTTATAATAGAATTAATATGGCCTAAGTGACAAGTGAACTAGAAGTGTGTGCGAAGTGCGATATATAACATTCTAAAATGGTAAAACAGTAACCTAGATTTAGGGTACTTCAAATTTCATGTTTGTATGGCGCATATAAGGATGTAATATTTTTTTTATAGGAAACCCGTATTATAGACCAAAATGGTTAAGTTATACGCATTAACGATCTTGTACAAGGGACCCATTTCAGCAACCCCGTTAAAGGCTGTATATGAATTGGGATCATTCTCGTTCTTCCAAAGAGGTAGCGTCCAAGAGTTCATGGCTTTTGTTAGTAAAACTATTACAGAAAGAACACAAATTGCTGCACGACAAAGTGTCAAAGAAGGAGGTAAATACTTCATCTATTATCAGTTTAGATTAATACTGTATTGTACCATAACCAATTATTATGCTAATAGAATATATGTGCCATGTATACGTACGAGGAGATAGCCTGGCAGGAGTTCTTATATCAGATCATGAATATCCAAACAGAGTATCACATACATTGATTACCAAATTATTGGATGAATTTGCCTCGAAATATCCTCCTGATAGTTGGCCAACTTTAAATGAAGCCACATGCAGTTTTCCTCAAGTGAACACCTATCTTGCAAAGTACCAAAATCCTAGAGAAGCAGACGCATTCACCAAAATGCAAAATGATTTGGATGAAACAAAGATTATTTTGGTAAGAATGAGTGCATATCAGGTATAATTTATATCTATTCAAATTAATGAACTCTATTCTTTTATAGCATAATACAATAGAAGCAGTCTTAGAGAGAGGAGAAAAATTGGATGATTTGGTCTCAAAATCGGAAGGACTTAGCATGCAGTCAAAAGCTTTCTATAAAACAGCGCGAAAAACTAATTCATGTTGCAGCCTGACAGCATAAATGTTATATTGTATTATATTATATTAATTGTCATCATTGTCGCTTTCCTATTTACCATGTGCAGTAAACAGCACAACCTGGCTCTGTTGTATGAATTTCAAAAGTCTTCAGAAATTGAACATATACTGTATTTGTTTCTCTGTAATTGTATCTGATTAGAATCAATTGTTGACGTTTTAAATTTATCTATTTATTACCGATAATTAACTGAAATCACTGCCTGTTCCATGCTGTTCAAAAATTAAGAAGCAACACCAGATTATTAGGAAAAATGTAATATACGTTTTCCTGAATTTTGATGTAAACACTATTTAACGGTCCTAAAACATTGTTATGATGAAAAAAATAAACAATGTGGATCTTTTATTATTTTCTAGATCTATTTTGCCATTCGACTAAACACATAAGGAATTTATTTTAAGTGTACATTCCAAATGATGGTACGGACTATAATATTGGGTCGGTATGGTGATGCAATTAATTAATTGGAAATTTTATTATTAATATACAAGAAAATATTACGAAATGAATTCTTATTATTTAGTAAGTGGTAGTCAGTAACTTGGAAAATTTGAATTTATACGTCTATAACTGAAATTAAGAGAAATGTCATCAATATAAATGTTTTAAAAATTTGTTGAAAACCCAAAGAAAAAATTGACTCCTGTTATCCTGGAAAAATTAGACAGTATCTAACATCAGTATTTTATGACGACACTTCTATTATAGTTGCTGCGGTTCGTATATACCTTGAAATTTTGCTATATGACACTTGTTAGGTCTTGCCCAAATTTCATACAGACGAAAATTGAATAAATTTCGAATGCTGCAACTGACCCAACAACGTATTGCACAAGTGGATTAAATACTGTAGTCATTAGACTGTCAGTTGCATCATTTAAGGAAGTTTTAATACATTGTCTATGAAACCTTGTTATAATTTATATAACCGGTATTGACTATAGCCAATGAAAATATCTATATAATACGTGTTTGTATTTGATTGTATACTAGGTCAAAGCATTTTAATCATGTTAAAAAAAATGCTAGAGCAAAAATTATACTAGGAACTTAAATAATGTATGTATTTCAACATATTACAATACATTATATGTACAATGTTTAAATGACTTTCGATTTTTCTTTCTCTGCTTTAAGCTTAAAAAATTATAACTTTGCACGTGTCCAGTTAAAAATAATAGATTCTTTTAACAATTAAAATCTTATTTTACTGCATTTTTATGTATCAAACTCAGTGTCATATAAGAATATGAACGCATAACTCTAGAAGAATAATTTGTAAATTACAGAAAAAATATATTGTTAGTGAGTCAGGGCGCGATTTATTTTACTACGCGATACCAAACACAATAATGTTGTTTTGTGTTTACAGAAACGTTCGTGTTTTATTTGAGGAGCGCTAATATTTACTATACAATATTTAAATTCATTCATTTTAAAGCTTCCATAAAACTTTGTCGCCCTTCAGATGATTGTATCCCTTTTGATACCGAAGTTCTTCTTCCTAATTTAAAGATAAGTACATATAAATTTTAAGGAAACACCATATGCGGCAAAGAAAATTTGTAAATCTAAATCTACTGATCGTGAAACTGAATGATATATGCCATAGTTCTTACCATTTCATCCATAACAAGGCGATATTTATTATCTTCTTCAGGTGTAATGAGCAAATCTGGATTCCATACTTCATCTACCTTGAGTGCATTTATTAATTCTATCTTATTGTTAGTGTATAGTACTCGACGACGGCGTACTGAATCCACTGCATCAAATTTCCAGTCAGCGTGTTTAGGATCATGTCTCTCTGTCTCGAAATTAATTTGTTCAATATCCTCAATTATTGATCCAGCATCGCCTCCATTTGACCAATCATAAATTAATATTTCGGCATGAGAGGAAAGGGACTTGAGATAATTTATCCTAGTACTTTTCTCTATGGTTTGAAGATAATCTTTCGTTAAGACTTTTGAATTCACTTCGTATGGAATGCCACGCTGCTTAATCTTTTGCTGCAATTCATTTTAGATTATAATGTGTACTCGTAAAACATAAATAACAGTAATAGCGTTACTACTGATTCAATATTTACCTGTACAGTTTCTACAGGGGCATCCAAGTATACAATCAAGTTAGGTCTCATTAAGTAATGTAACGAATTCTTCATAATTTCTCTGTAACTCGTCAGTGTTGCCGTTGTTACATATCCAGCTTTATGCATTGCATCCATGAATACTGTATCACCCCAAGGGCAGCGTTCAATCACTACACCCTGTCCAGTATTTAATATATGTTCTAAGGCAAGGATGTATTGCATATATCTTGCAGCATACATATTGATTTGGAACAACCCTGAATTTACATGATCTGGATTTTTCAAAAAATTTTCTACATCTATTAGCTGCAGTGACTCGGGAAGCTTATGATTTAGCTTTCTCAAATCATAGCCAGACTCATGAATGTAAAGATCCTCTTCATCAGGAGCAGGTGAGTACAGCATATCAAATTCATTTGCCAAAGTTTTTGCTACTTCGGTCTTTCCAGATGCAATTGTTCCATCAACAACAATGATTTTTGAATTTTCATGAAATCGATTCATCATCCTATCAAAAAGTTGGGCAAATACACCATATCTTTTATTGACATAATCATAAGGCTTAGGACAACCATGTTCAGGTGGTGGTTTAAGAGACCGTATATATTTTGTACTAATGAAAGCAGCTTGCATTAAAGCAATATTTTTTGTATTTGGTGTCACCTGCAAAATGAATTTCAGTCAAACACTTTCGTGATGTGCAGTTAACCATTGTAATTATGTTAATCAAATAAAATATTGTTCATGGCGAAATTAATTAGCATAATAAATAAAAGTAGATTTCTACAAGATGCATAAATATATCATATAATCAATATACAATAATTTTATAGTAATTACATATGTCTAACCTTATGTAATATCCCAAAACCGCTGGATGGCAACTTGATGACGGCAGTCCGAACTGTCCAAGCCATTTTCTGAAGAGCAAGAGAAAAATATTTATAATAGACTTAATGATAAATAAACATTTTAATATCTAAATACGAAATATTACAATCTTCATGTACTCGACAGTTCTTACCGTAGGAAAGATGGCTACCGCCAACTGAAGTAAGCCAACATATAGATCATAACAATGCAGCCATTTCCTGTTCCTTTGATACTATATTCAAATTATCTAATATAATTTAATTTATTTACGTCAGGATACATTAAATAAGTTATATGAATAAATGTCATTAGTCCTTGTTTCACTTAATTTCTTCATAAGCTCGTATTATTCATAGTTTAGTCGTATAACAACGTTTTAATAACTGATTCTGTAAGCTTCTATAAAAGTAACAATTTGACTTATGAAAGTTCTGTAACACTAATGACTACAATGCAAGTCTTCAGAATGCAAGTCATATGTACAATCCAAATATTTGCGTATACATTCAAGTTCAACAATCTCTATTGAATAAATATGTATATCTTTGACAACATAAGCCCGACATAACGATTAATGGTTATGTTTTAACAACGTTTCAACGTATTTTTAACATTAGTAGAGCAGACCGGTATTGACATAACATTCAATATGAAATATGAATAACTATTATCGACAGAGAGCAAAGTGATCGTTCACAGAAAAGAGTAACAATCATACTTCTTGGTAATTCGAATGACTGACGTATGTATCAGTCATACTCTGTAAAAAAAAGTGAACAGAGTCACGAGTATGAAAATTAAAAGAAATATTCACAAAAAAAGCAAATTGTCCAGTAAAATCGAAGTGTCCTTCATTTCTCGAAAATGAAGCAAAATATAAAAAAAAATTAAAACGCACAGTAGCTGCGCAATGGGAAAAATTGGAGAGTGTGGCACGCATGATTCGTGATAGCGAATCGGAGCAACGTTCGTCGTGTAACCAGCAGTCAACCACAGTCGACTGCAGTCGACTCGTAAGTTTCGTAGAGTGTGGACATTTTTTTGTTTGGTACCACCGTGTATAAGAGTTTTTCCTAAGTTTCCTCAGCGATCGTCGATCGGCAACACGATTTCTCGTGGTTAAATTAAATTTCTAACCGGGCCGCGTACCTAGAGCATTGTGGTTCAGTGACCGCACGACGAAGGCGGTCGTATGGTGAAAATGTGAAGGAAACGCGACGGAGACGATGTGAGTGAATATTCCGATCAGTTTTATCCTCGCGGAAGACTTAGGAGTGAGACACTAAACAGGCGTCTCATGTTAAAGGAATTTTTGGCATAGCAAGACATCGAGCGAGAATGGGTGAGTGAACGAGAGATCGGGAGCCAGTGATATTTATAAATAATTTTCTATTTAAGGGCGACGCTAACGGGGCGTGCCTTCGAGGAAATGCACCTTCCCATTATATGCGTGTAGTACGCGCCGCAGTACGAAATTCACTCGCACTCGATACTTGTACTATACATACATCTATGTCTCTTCTTATTCTCTCTCTTTCTCTCTGTTCTTCCGTAAAGAGAAATCGAAATGTTTTCATGACTCCGTGCCTTGCAGCTCGCGATGACCTGCGACAAGCAGCCTTACGCACAGTGAATCTATGTAAATTCTTAAATTACTGTGCATTTAGTGATGCCAATACTATTGATAGAATAGAAAATATTTACAGTACAATATTCCATCAAGCCCTGACTTCTATTACGGATCCGTACTTTTTGCTCCATTCGTGTCTACTACTCTGCGTCTGTATTTCTCCTTTTTTTTTTTCTTCTTGACTATCTAATTTCCACCGGAGCATAGGGTATATATTTATTCTATCTCAGCGTTATGGATGCAATCACTGCTTCTTCTGTTAACTGAGATTTATATGACACTCGAAAGAATGCCGTTTGATTTGCCTTGATGCTTTGATTTTGGAGCACTTCTGAAATTTTATATTACTGCAAGTTTCAAATGTTAAAAGTGTATTTTCAATTTCCAATTATTTGTCATTGAATTTTTTATTTTCAGTTTAGGCCTAAGTATTTTATTTTTTCCTGGTATTATTACATGTGGTTGAGTTATAATCTTTTATCTCTAACATGTGTATAATATATATATTACAACTGTGTTTCACCTGATACAACACTTGTATTTTCAAATTTCATGTGACACTTGTCAGGCTGTGACTAAGCATATGTGGTATTCTTTTAGTTCTGGGAGGGAGTAATGCTGTGTAATCAAAATGTCGAATGTGAACGCACAATTAACGCACATTAACGCATAAAATTAACAATTTATGAAATTATTTACGTGTTTCAGTCATGTATATATTAGTCATATTTAGTATTATCTGTTACAGACACACAAGGAGGAATGTCGCGTAACACTGGTCCTGGACTCTATGAGTTCTTGATGGAGGCTGAGCTACAAGAATATTATCCAGGAATTCGAGGTTTGCAAAATTACTATTAGAAGCAATATTGAATAACAATAAGCAATTGTATTCTGTCACTGCAGTTGATCGAATGCAATGTGTTCATTATTATTCTACAGGGCTATTACTTAAGTGGCTGCACTTGACATACTTGAAACCATTTAACTATCTCTATCACTACTGCCTGTTAATTTTCCTCTGATAAGAACTTAAGTGGTGTATAACATGTGAAATCTTATCCACGGAGTAAATTCTCTCAAAAATATTACCATAAGTTTTGTGTCGAATGGGTCATTTAGTCATTACAACACATTAATAAAATGGATTTGTTAAAGTATCTTTATTTTGTGTTATTCGCATAGGGGATCTAAAGGTTCAGACAACAGCTCAACTTAAATATGTGACGGAAGAAGACTTGACTGCTATTGGCATGACTAAACCAGAAATGCGTCGTTTAAAAAAGTACTTTCAAAAGCACTTTCCACAAAATTATTTATCCAAATTTAAGAAGATGCTCCTCCCAAAACGGGAGGAGCAAACACCTGGCGCATTGGGAATGCTTCCTGAAGAGAGACAAGACAGACCACCTATACGTGTTCCTAATAAGCATATGATTCCTGCCGATGCAATAATTGTCAATAAGGAATTAGGAACAGGAGAGTTTGGTGTTGTGCAGCAAGGAGTATGGACAAACGATGGCGAGAGAATTCAAGTAGCAATCAAGTGTTTATCAAGGGAGCGAATGCAGAACAATCCAATAGAATTTTTGAAAGAGGCTGCCATAATGCATTCTATAGATCATGAGCATATCGTTAGGTTATATGGTGTTGTATTAGATACAAACTCTCTAATGCTAGTTACGGAATTAGCACCACTTCGATCGCTCTTGGAATGTCTAAAAGAACCGAGCTTGCGAGCCAGCTTTCCCGTCCTGTCCTTATGTGACTTTGCCGTACAGATTTCAGACGGAATGCAATATTTAGAAGCAAAGAGACTGATACATCGTGATCTTGCTGCGAGAAATATCTTGGTCTTCTCAAAGAACAAAGTTAAAATATCAGACTTTGGCCTCTCACGAGCATTGGGCGTTGGTAAGGATTATTACCAAACGAACTTTAATGTAAATTTAAAGCTTCCCATTGCCTGGTGTGCACCTGAATGTATCTCCTACCTAAAATTCACGTCCGCAAGTGATGTTTGGGCCTACGGAGTCACACTCTGGGAAATGTTCAGCTATGGTTTTCAACCATGGGCGGCGTTAACAGGTCACCAAATTCTGGAAGCAATAGACGAGCCTAATTTTCAACGTCTGGAGCAACCGGATTGCTGTCCTAAAGATTATTTCTCTCTTATGCAACAATGCTGGCAACACGAGCCGACTAAACGGCCAAAGTTCTCTGAATTAATAAAATTACTTCCTGACTTGAAGCCAGAACAAGTGCAAGCTGTTCAGGATAGTGCCGAGTCAGGTCAGCTTGCTTATCGACAAGGAGACGTTATCACGGTCCTGGACAAAGGCAGCAGCAATACTCTTTGGAAAGGAGTACTGAATAACGGGAAAACGGGATTCTTTAATCCGGCTCACACGATAGCTTATCTGGGATTGAATTTACCCAGTAATAAACCTGGAGAGTTCACACGCGGTGACGGAAAGAATGCTTTCTCTTCGCAACGCAGAAAGATACGAACAGATATGATTTCTTCACCGCAAGGTGACGTCAAGCATACTGGTCATGTTGGTTTGGACGGAGCTTATTTCGGTGATATTAGCTTCCTGGGAGGAAAGTACCCACACTTGCCGAGACAAGTGGTAACACCATACAAGCCGCAAGAGGATGCCACAGATAATTCTAGTCAAGTTCTGAGTCAGGATGGAAGGAGCGTAGTAGATGCGGCAAGAGAATCAATCAGAGAAAGCAGAGACATACAACATTTGCAACATGATACGCAAAACAAGCACGGTAATTTTTTTGTTTTTCTGATAATGTGCGCAATACGTGGTATGCGTTTTCTGAACTATTAAAAATCATAACTATTTTAATTACAGATAGCTTATGGTCGGACACGAGTTCAGAGATATCGCATCTTGGAACACTTGGACATGCCGGCAAACGATCCATGTCTGCCAATCTACCTGGCAGTACGGATACTGTTGGCGCGGATCATGAATACCATGAGATTAGCGACGAAGAGAATCAGGATAGCCCACTAAGATTCGATAAACCATTGAATTTCGATTTTGGGCCTAGTCTTTTGGACGAGATGGATCAAATGTTTAGATCGTTGGGTACGTGTGAGAAACATTCGAATAGTATTCCTCAAGAACTTTATCTATCTGATTATATAACTTTGGCTCGTTAGGCTCTTCTCCGCCACCACCGCCACCAGGACATCCACTACCCACCGAACACGAGTCTAGCAATGCGAGAAATGAACTCCGAGAGATACAAGCAAAGCAATGTAGTAAGAAGAAACAGGCCACCGTGAGTCCTATAAATGTACAGTAATCTTTACACCATTTATAATTTGTATGTGTTCTGAATTTGTAAGTCAATCGATGTCTCGCATCATTTTATTAATCATTATTGCTTTGTGTGCGTAATGTTCGTTACGATACTGAGACATAAATTTTCTGTTTTGCAAAGAATGGCGCGCCCTCGATATAACGATTCCAAGGTCCGATCCATTGATTTTGTAGAGTTCAAAAAGAAAAGAAAAAAAAAAGAAGAAATGCAGCCCAATCTCGTAATAGACGGTTAACATTTTTTCGATCATTTAGGTGAAGCCTATATCAGCCTCCGATCAGAAAACCCTCTACTCGGCCATTGCAATGGCACAGGAATTGACGGCACGTTCCATGACAGATCTTGAGCATCCACCGGAGTCTCCGCGAACACCTGCCAGTCCTTCGAGGCGCAGAAAATTCTCTTTTAAGTTGCCACATCAACACAGTCCAAAACCAGACAGACGACACTTTTCAGAGGAAGCAGCGAGTATACCTGATATCCAGGTACAATAAACATTTTTTAGTTTTTCTTTTCATTATCGAGGATTATTAAAGTCTGCCGATGGTATACACAAACATAATGAAGATGGCACTGCACCTTTTGTCACTCGATGCAATGACATTTCACTACTCTTCGATTAACCATTTTAGACAGATACTCATCACATTCTCATTACTTCGATGAAGTGCAATTTTACACTTTGCACACCTTATATTAATTTCAATGTTTTACACCAATTACTCAATTATTTTTTAATTTATTCACGTGGCTTACTCCAGTAACTTGTCTATCGTGGTACCGCTCGCAGGTGGTATTTAATTCTACTTAGGTATCTTCTATTTTTTCTTTTTACAATACATTAACTAAGCATCTAACGAAGTGGTTGTTATGGAACGGCGTTAATTCCTGATGCCACAAGATATTTAACATACATTATAATTGCAATTGCTACTAACATATCTACGTATATCCTCTCTCTCTCTCTCTTTCTCTCTCTCTACCTTAAGTCGAGATAGTGCTTACTAACGCAATAACTAATATCAACCTTTCCAACATCCCTATGTTCCTTTCTCGTTTATTGTTTTATTTATTTATGCAACTGTTGTTTATGGTGATTTTCGTTATTGTTACCAAACAATTATTATCCTTTGCATTTTATTTCGAAATCATTTACTTTACGTGCTTGTAACTTGATCGTTGATCGACCAAAAAATGTACTTCATACCTTTGCGTGCTTGTTTATTGTGTTTCTCAAACATGCAATGCATTATCGAACGCAATACGTAATCGCATGATATGTCTTTAAATGTTTCTGACATTTCGTGATGCATGTATTCGTCTTTAACGTTGCACCTTCTCTGTTGTGATTCTCATTGCCAACTGATTGTCACTTGTGAAGTGGCTGTGCTCGAGTCTCCAATCACTTTCTTCAACGGTGTCCAGCATAGATTCCCTTGGTGCACCATCCACTTTGAAATTGCCCTTATGGGACAAAGCGTCTGCTGAATTTTGTTTTGCGAAATCCCGTGAGCTTTTAACAAAACCCAGCGCTTGGACATCGTATATGGATGTTGAGTTTGACACGCATCTTCTGGATAACGCAGCGACCAAACAGAGTTTGGTGAGGTCGACAGAGTTCCTTGAGAATGGAAATAAAAAGGGCACCTGCAATATCGAGGGTCTTCTGGATATGGATACAAAGAGCTGTTTAAAACAAAATGGTAAGCTCTCGTACAGCGTGGAAAATTCAAACTTTGACTTTCCGCGGGATCCTAAAAGAGTTTCTACAAGTTACGTTGACAGATACTTTGAGCAACCGAAATATTTTGACGAGGATGTCGCTCTGGACTGCGCCAGTGAGAAAGCAACATTTTTTAATGACGAGAAAGCTGAGACTTTCGAGAAGATTAACAATCTGGAACAGCCGAGCAAGAATAAGTTTTATCTTAATTTAAAGGAGCAGGGCGTAATGAGTAACGATAGACACGGTCCAGTGTCGCAAAGTAAAATCAGCAACTCAGATCAATCTACCAGGGAGAAAATAACGAGTTACGAGAGCCAGCAGGACGAGCTGTCAAATTTGGACTCTAGCAGAGAGAAGAGCGGAAATTTCGAATCTCCGCGCAGTAAATCTATCAAATTTGAGTCACCGCGCGATAAGCTGGCGAACTTTGAGCTTGGAACAAGACCTAAAATATCGAGCTCCCTCGGAGACTCGTCCAAAATGAACATTACGGAAATCACGAAAAAGTTGGATTTACAGAAACCTCGAGGCGGCAAGGTCACATTCGCCCCGAGAAATTCAAATCAGGAATCAAAGACTGCTTACGGTTCCTCCGATAGTGTCAAAGCAAATTTAAAAATAGTCGGACCCGATAGCCCGCGAGGTAATTTAGAAACAGTGAGAATGAATATGCAAAGTTTTCGTAAGATCGAGCAAAACCAGAACGGACACGATAACTTTCCCTTTGTGATATCCAACAATCCGCTGTTCATCGCTGAACCAGAGAAGAAGGAGTCACCTATATACAGTAGCTCTGAAAGCTTACGGGTGAATTTTCAACGTCTGCGACGAAAATCCGACGCTGAAACGAACAATCAAGTTGAGCTGAGCAGCAAATTATTGGCTGAAAAATATCAGCGTGAAGTGTCGGGTTTGGAAAGTGTGAAGAACTATTTGGACTCCAAGAAGGGTCAGGGTCTAAATCTGGGCTTCGGGAAGCTCACCCAGAACATGATACAACTCGGTAAAAACATCGCTCAAAATTCGAGAAACTTGGAAGTAGCCGTAACGAAGCCTACCGCAGCCAATACGAGAAATCTTGAGCTAACCCAACTAGTAAAGCCAGCACGAACGTTAAACGTGCCTATTCAAAAACCTAAACACTTAGATCTCAACATTCCACTAAAAACAAAACGACAAATGAACATGAAGTTAAATCTGACTCAACGACCCAATGCACCAACCAGTCCAAATATGCATCAACATATCCTTGAACCACCCAAATTATACCAGAACGACAATACCAGGAAGGAAATACCTAAACCGGAAATATTAACTGACAAGATTCAAACTAATATGAATATCTACCGTCACAGGACCTCGTCATTGTCGGAAAATCGTAGACCACCCCTTAGGAACATACGCAGATCCTTTCATCCCCGTAACGACTCAAGCGAGGACTCTGATTCGATTTCTCATTCGGAAACAGATATAAGAAGCCGCTTGCGTTACAAGCGTCGCCATAAGAAAGTTCCGCACAGTTTACGGTTGAATTTGAAAAACAAGGGACATTTTTTGCATCCCGATTCAGCCAGAGGTTTCTCGTCTGCTGAGTTGTGTGGAAAATCCCCACCGCCTTCGACGAGCTTTTTAAATTCTCTATCGCCGCCATTTTCTTCGCGTAACAACTTACTGTCATGGCCGGAAAGCGCTCCTAGTTCCAGTTTAACGTTCACTAGTAATTCTGATCTGGATTCGGATACAAGCTCGGAATATCCTGAATTTATTAATGATATGTTGACCTTCCCACCATCGCCAGCTCCATGAAATTTAATTTGCGCTAAGCTGATAGGAGATTTTGATGGGCGCTCGGACATCACGCGTCTCGATTAATCAAATTCTGCTGACGAGTGTGTTGCGTGATTGGGATGCATGTCGTTCGCTCATACTAATATACGAAAATACGTTACTCGTCAATGGGCTAATTGTAAGGTGACGCAAGTCTGAAGTCAACGTGCTTCGTAGAGATCGGTTAAGATAATCGGCTGCACGTCAACCGATGTCATGGACTCTGGTTATTTACGCTTAGCATGCTTGCATGATATACAGGACACTCAATGTTATTAATATTCGTATAATAAAACACTTTTGATATATTTACAAATTTATACCATTTGTACACGTATTATTAGAATAGATCCAATGAGTCCAGTACACACATGACATAACATGAACTGACTAATTATTAGAATAGCTATTTTAATATACTCAAAGAAAAATCAGATATATATATATATATAACATATACACATATATCTATCATGTACGCACTAGTCACCGTATTGTTTTTAAGTGGTCCTATTAGTTTTTAATTTTTTTTAATTTCATTTGGTTCAAACGTAAGTCAAGTACGACTCGCGAAATTCCTATCCTGATTGCAAAGCAATTATTTTTATTTGATTCCAATTATTTTGCAGTGGAATCGAAGCACCCAATCGTTCCGTTTACCTTTGAACCAATAATCTGTTTATTTGTTTCTCTGTCTTTCTTTTTGAGTTTTCTTTTTTAATTTCCATTATCTTCTCTCCCAAATCTATCCCCTCCCACGAATTGTTTAGGCTACGTTGTCGGACGAGGCTAAGGAAGTGTACAACCGCCTGGTGGAAACACCGAGTATAGAAACGGCATCGGATACAAATCCATTGCGTATGTTGCGTTCGGGTCTTCCAATCGTGAGGCCCAGAATTCGTGGAAACAAGCACGCCACCCTGGGCCATACCGTTTCCTATCCGGAGGAGATCTCGACCGATCACAGTTCGCAGTTCGAGTTACACAACAGCGGCGCGAAGACACTGCCAAAAATTCGTGTACCGCCACCGCCAAATGCACCGCCGCCAATACCCCAGACGCGTAATTTGGAGAGGCATAATTCAGCTTCGGAAATTGAGAACAATCAGAATCAGTTTAATGTCGATGAGAATCCGATACCTTTACCACCAAGAGATCGGTCCAAGACACTGCAGCCAAAATCAAATCTTGCTCGACATCAGAGAAAGCATCCTCTTATCATTCCTGGCGGTGGAGTTACTAGGACATTGGCAAAGATGGCTGTTACCACACCACCTATTGAGGATCAGATCGATGGACACCAACCCTTTGCTAGTCATGATGTCAACAGCCAGCAACATCACCAGGAAACTGGTACCATCTCTGAGGAAAGCTGCTCACCTGAGATCGCAGCCAATAGGTATGCATACTCTTGGCTTCGAGGATATTTTTTACTGTGGTACGGTCAGTAATATTATATAATATTTCAGCCCTGAGGAATTTGAACAGCGGATAGACTCTGAATTAGCTGCATTGGACTCACTGCCCATCGAAGAGAATAAGTTGCATCGGTGCAGTGTCATTTCTGAAGATCTACTGGAGTTTTCAGATAACTTGATTGACTGCGATGCTATGGAATCTCAGCAAAGTGCACTAGAACATAGTGAGAATAGACACTCGACTGATTCTCCAATTGTAAATCAACTTCAAAGGAAGATCAGTATAGAATCTAAGTGTTCGATAAAGAGCTCCACCTCCAAGTGTCCGCAGGATAACATGGAGACTAGTGACATAAGTAGAAATTCTACTCCGACAAGTTTAAATCGCTCTGAAGAATCGAGCTTATCCAGTAAAGTAGACACATCGAATTCAAGCCTATCAGGCAGATCACAAACATCCGTTAACAGAGGAAACGCTTCTTTCGTTACACAGCCAAAAGCATGTAACGTACCTTTGCAAATTGAGCATGTGCATAATGAAAATTATGCATCAAATTCAACGAACGTTCACGGTAACACTATTCCAAGTAATATCGTTAAGACCCAGACACAAATACTCCAGAATCGCGACACCTTCGCGCATTCTGCTCACGTCAATCCTAACGATGATTTCCATACGAATAATTCCTCGAAACCGCCACAGCGACAATTGTCAAACGACAGATCCTCCGCTCGTACCAGTGATTTATCTCGACAGTCCGATCACGTATCTTGCGAGGATTTGTTGGAGTTTGCCTGTGATGGTCCTAACGTACGTAGAACACGAGGTCCACGAAATGGTGAACAGTCAGACGAAGTTAGAATAATGTTAAAAGTCCTTCACGAGCAATCCACACCGGAATCCTGTGTAGCTGCACTTAACGTCACTGATTGGGACGTTCTGGCGGCTATAAAATTGGAGCGTCTTCAAGGATTACTCAAGAAGGAGAATAATTTCGTTGGCCTTGAAGACTGCAAGGTGATGCTCAGTCAATGTGGCGGTGACGTTGTCAAGGCTGCTGCTCTTTTGAGAAACACGGACGATACGGCTGCCGTTTAGATCGGTAATGCCGAACTTTGTGGAGAAAATGAAGTAATACTGAAAGTATATAGAAATGTATAGAAATGTACAGAGTTTTTCACTGTACTCATTACCGAGCATTGATAACGATCCTTTCTGTACGTTAATCGTTCCCGTTTTACTGGGATCGATGGTACTTCATCCTTAAGAAGAGACGAAGCTAGATGACTTTAACTTCGACAGCTTTGAACCATAGGTCAAATGACATTTAGTTTATTTATTATATTACATTGTTGTCGACGCGGATGAAAATTTGATTCCTGTACTTCGTTCTGGCCAATCTATACGTAGATTATGGGACATTGAATGCTGATCTAGTGTTCATAAGGCCAATTTCTTTTTTTTTTTCTTTTACAAGAATGGTAATGGTTTGCTTATTCAATGGAAGTACGACTAATCATCGAACCATTTAACTTTAATCTATTTCCTACGTAATGTGATAGCGTAAACAATAATCCGATCGATGAAACGTATTTTTCATACTGTATGGAAAATACGTAAGGATGCGTTCATCGCGATGCGCGACCGTACATTCTTGTGCAGGGTAATAGACTGCATTTATGTCACAGCAATCAGGTGTTCTCTGAAAAAATGATTTAGTGCTTTTAGATTCTCTTGACTGGATTCCTTACAAAGAGCCGTAGTGTAATGGTGACATTATCATTTGTATTCAGTCAGGTGTATCTTGTCTTAAAAAGAATATTTTCTTACATTATTTCCATAAAATTTGGAGGAGTCTGTAATATAATTACAAATTAAAAGAAAGAATCCTCATTGTCGTACGTTGCATTTAAGGTGAAGTTTTTATACGGCAAATCGTTTACATGCATAATTGCACTTTGTCCAGCTGAGAGATTGATGCCACGTATATTTTATAATGAACTTTAAGTACTTCTAGTTGTAAGGATCTGTGATTTTTATTTGATGAAATTTTGCCAATGAAAGATGCATCAATTAAAAGCTGTACTGTACATATATTAACGTAAGGATATTGATACACGGATATTTCTTCCCGTCTCTCTGTCGCTGAACTACGTGCAAAAGAAGCGCACAAGAAATGCTCATTATACTTCTAAAGTCTCCTATGTATTTAAAAATATGATCTGCGACATAGCCAACAATTTGAAAATCGCTCGTACGTTACAAGTAATCTTAAGAATTTGTCAAAAGTTTGAAAATCATTAATTATACAAGCGTTACGTTAAGTGCAGCGAATGTCAAACCTTTTGTAAATGCTTTATGTACAGTAACGATAATTTTAGGCATCAAGTATAAAAAGTAATACTAGAAAAATTCCAAATATCATACATCAATCATCCGAAGTACATTTTTCGATAGTAACATGGTAATTTAGATATGTCAAACCTTTGTTAACCAGCGTACGTTTATTAGCTCTCTGCCTGATGCGACGAAGCACGTTATTTTCATTCACAAAACAAAAAGAACTTCGTACAACGAAACCGTACTTCGTTTTTTCGTACTCTAAATTTAAGTTTGTATTTTTATATTAATGTCAGATTTCAATAACGCCAGGGTCTACTCGTATATGAATCTCGATCGAACTTCCACCAGACAATGAACCAAAAATATCTACGTTATATACACAAAAAATGTTAAAAAGTCTTAAGGTCGTATGCAAATAACAATGCAGTTGTACCGTTTTTTGTTAGCTGATACACATTATTGCATTAGCCGGCTGTGCAATGTTTTTAAGACATCCTGCATAAAAAGAATGAACGGCAAGAGGTAACGGACCAAATTGCCACGGTCTTGTCTTCGATAGAACATTGTAGCAAGCAAGGCAAGAGAATGATCTTACATTAAAAAAAAAATTGCTCACTTTTGTTTTGTAGCAAAACATATATACATACAGGTATATATGATTTTTTTCCTTCAAAGGCTGAAACGAGCAATAACAAATTTACTATTCTTGGCACAGGGGCATGTCTATTATATCTTTTAATCGAATCGTTCGAGCAAACCAAAAGATTTACAAAAGATAAAAAATGTAATTGCCTACATAATTTTATTTTACTTAGCCTTACTAGATAAGTATAACGTAGGATACGCTTTGAGAGCATACAATTTCAAAGCCAATGTACTTATGAAATCCACAAAACTTGTACTTGAAAAGCTATATGCTGAAAAAAATACCTTTTCTAAATCGTTACGATACTTTGATGTAGGTTGGGAAAAATATAACGAAACATACTTTATTTATAATATATTATTGTAAGTGTATATCTTCGTATATTTCTTGATATGCGGCGTACAGTATCGGTCAATGCACGAAATAGAAAATGATTAACGAAATAGCATATAGTCATCGGGTACAGGAGGATAGAGAAGAGAATGTAGAAAGGAAAGAGAAATGAGTCTCGTTCGTACGACTAGCAAGAATTATCGAAATTCTTTTCCTGATTAATAATAAAGCGTATGTAAGTCCCAACACGCACTTTTTATACGCGATCAACTGTAAACTCCCGTATTTATACAATCTCTATATTATTATACGTAAGAAAAAGGCATAACACGAGGATGTTTTATATCTGCTGTATTTACGATAATATATACATGAACAAATTTGAGAGAAAGAAAAGAAAGAAAAGAGAAATACGAAGCTCAGAATTCGAAAATATTTATTTCCTATAATCTCCCAGTTATGTCACCCGTTATATCAGTTTAGCACGTGTGGATAACACTTGAGTATACACCGCACCGAGACACTTTGTTGCTAGTGCGTACACGCGTTTCGACGTAGCGGAAGCAAAGCTACTTTGAGCGAACCAGCTGCCAACTGAGTGAGCTATAGCGAACGAATCAGGGAACGAACGAGCAAAGCCGAACACTACTCGGAACGGTTTGCACTGGTTTGCAGAGACAGCAGACTTACCGAAGCCGATATCGAGATTGGCAGTCTAGTATTTTACTCCGTGTTCGGTAAGTGGATTCTGTCATATCTCTAAAGTGCTATATAATGTCTAGTGTTTAATTGGAATCTTAAAAAGCAATCTCGGTGAGTCAACTGAAATATGAATTTTAACGATTTGAAAATATAAATTTGAAATTATATATATATAAGCTGTGTATATGGTCACTGTTTACGGTAGCAGTGTCAGTATTATAGGATGGATCAATAAAGGTAGATATATTAAGTTTTAATGCATTTGAAAATTCTTAGCGTAGCATCGTACGCATTCGAGGGATTTGAAATGCGTTGTGAAATAGTCAGTTATGGTAATTATTTTTCGGGAAATTAAAATCTAAATTAATTATTTAACTTTGGTAGAAGTGCCGGCTGGATTTTTTATTTATCGTAATCAAAGACAAAAACGATTCTTAGATACGTGATAATTATTTATATGGGTTTTTTTTTGCTCCGACCGAACGCACAGCTGTATAAATTGTATGTGAGTTAAGCGCGCGAGGCACGAGCCTGTGACGAGACGCAAGTTTACGTGCAGTTCGTAATAACGGGTCTTGGAAATTTTGCGGAAAGAATAGAATTCGTTAAGAAAGACTCTCCGGATATCAACAGCGGGTTATGAGAGTGTTAGACAATGTATAGCAGCAGTGCAGGCGACCGGAATGTCGACTCGGTAAACCGATATTTGCTGACTCGTTCCGTACTCGTGTATACTCGGTATGAAGTCCGACGTGTGCTAAACGATCTTTGATTATACTGAATTCGATCAGACTTCTAGGTGAAAAAAAGTGGAAAAAATGAAAGACACGATACTCGTTCAATTTCGGAGCAGCATATAAATACGTTTGGATACATAAAGATCACGGCACCTGAGTCCTTGAGATACCTTTCCTCTATGCTATCGCAAGTGAGTATAGTCGGTACAGTTTCGGTCCGCGGAATCGTGTTGAATGAACGGTAGTTTCTTGAAAGAATAGAGTAAAAGTCTATGTTTCAGGGTAAATAAATATTTCTTCTTTCTTTTTAAGGTAAAAGAGGTTAAAAACTCTACCCGCCCTTCAAAGGTTAAGTACCTGTGGCTGGTTAACGTTGGAATCTTAACCGGTTATTTTTGAATGGTTTTATTTGTCGTTCGAATCAAAAAACGAGGAAGCACTGATAGCGGAACATTCGTCTTGAAATGGCGGGAAGTGAATAATTCGTTTTGCATCGATACACAACATGTCGCGGAAGATGTCAAACCGCTAGATTACCGTCGTGGTTGGAATTCCTTGCGTATCCTTAAATTGAAGTTTTTCTGCTCTTTTTTTACGAATAAAGTCCACGTTGCATGGCAACAGGGTAGTGGTCCGGCCTGAGCATCCTAGCGGTCGGTCAGTCCAACATAACTGTCTTCTGCACTTGCTTTAAGTTTACAACTTTACCGTATCCCCACAACGTGCTGCATCCTTGAAAGCAGATGCACTCGACGCTTAACAGGACCGTTGAGACGAGATGACTTCCGGTTGGAGTTAACTGAGTTTCGTATTTTTTATCGAATATTAATTATGATCGTAGAATCTAGTAGCGAAGCTGCTTATCGAATCAGTGAACATCGACAGAGGCCATCATTAACTCTAGGCAAGATATACGCGAGAATGATTCTAAACGATTGAAATAAAAATTAACCTCAAATTAAATCATCGTCGCACTTCTTATATAATCAGATATCATTACTTAAGTAAAAGACATTCTTTAATCAAATTCGTAATGGCAACGACTATCAAACGGTCACCGAAAGTTCGTAGAATTTTGAAATATCGCGCCTTTCGTAATTCACGTCACGTACCCGGCGCCACTTAAGGACAATTTGAATACCGCGAATAGAGAGTTTGAGCGGCGCCTTGTTCTCTTTGGAATTTTACCAAAACAACGTGAAAGTTCAAACACAATACGAAATACGTATATGCATAGTGTGTTGCAAAGTCAAATCACAAATTTTCGTGAATTTCAAATAATTTAAACGCGGCACTGTCTCGCGTAGTAATTGTCTGTCTCTTTCTTACGCACGTTCATCAGTGGATGTCTAGGAAAAAGTCGTTACTCACTTCGAACACGGTAAAGTGCAAACGGACAGTTTACGCGATCATCGTGGTTAAATCTGAGTCAGTATCGAGTGACGGATAAAAAGGGGAATATATGCAATGCACAGATTAATGATATCGTCGTTATCAGTAGATATAAAAACGATTCGAGTCAAATAATATCGAAGTACACTCGTTATGGATCCACCAGGTGACACGTACGAATCTGTGAGTGATTGAAATCTTTATCGAAGGTGTCTTCAAATTGACAAGTATTTTCACGCAATCTAACTTTATTCCAATCTCGTACGAGAGACGCAGCTAATCCTATTGAGGAGGGTAATACCGTAGATACTAAAATGGCGATCGAAGATCGGTTAGTGAATGCTAACAAGTCCTTTAATATTCTTTGGCACCAACAGTCGTTCGCCATTATACGTTCGCAGTCAACTTCGTAAATTTCTCGTCGTTCATTACTGGATTTACTCGGGGCGGAGTAAAAGATTCTGGGTGCAGTCTTCAGTACAGTTATAACTCCTGTGCGAGGCTGACGTCTCGTAGACCGGTGGTAAACTCACCACGTAAGGAGGAGCAGGCTATTTTTTTTTTCATCCAACCAAAGTCTCCTTCACGATAACATAGTCGTCAGTGATTTAGAAATCCTTAAAAAAATAAGATAAAGGTTGTCATGAAAATTTAAATTCAAATTTCCCGCGTAAAATCAAAGGTAAACATAACTAGGGAAATTTAAAGGATGACTTCCTCGTGACTGCATAGGAATAATTTTTTGTAAGTAACATTAAATCTTACGTATCTTTTAAGGTTCGTCAAAATACAATCGTAATTGCATAAAACGGGTGTCAAACCTTGCATGCCAACGAAGCTTTGATCGAATGAGAGCAATAAATTAACACAGTCTTGAATTTTGATTGTTATACTTTGAAATAAAATCAATCGTAACAGTCATACCGATAGATATGAGATTATCAAAGGAACATTGACTGCTGACTAAACGCAAAGAAATCTCGTGAAGCAATATAATCAGAAGTGATTATGAAGTGACAAAGTGATCGTATAAATTGGAGTGTAAAAATGTTGTGCCTCAAGAAACGAAGAACCTACAGCTTCACGCAGGGAGCCTGTGAGGATTTGCCGAGAAGAGTAAAAAAGGATAATCGTTACAATGAATCCTTGAATATGGCTGTTACGACACTGCCGCGTAAACATGGGTGAGTCAATATAATGAAATATCGATTTTTGCCCGTATAATACTATACGTACGCATGCCCGAAACACGTTAAATAACTTTGAGGAATAACATTAGAGACAAGCGTCGTGAAACGATTCTATTTCTCGCGTCGTTCCTGAACGACGCAAACAATTCACCGTACGAAGGACGCGTGCGGCAGGATATGCCAATTGCAGCGGTAAAAGTAGGTAAAAGTAGTTCAATACATCCGAACAGCCGTAATACGCGATATACATAATTGCAATGCCGAGTCCACGCACCGAGTCCCAATAGCCACAAATACCTGCCAAGGATTTACATTCCGCAAGAGACTAGGAAATGCTTTCGGTTCCCTTTCGGAACGGTTCGCTCTGAGAACTCTCTCGTCACATATAAATTAGCATATAAACGAGTCTGCGAGTATCTTTACCCAAATCATAGAAACTCGTCCGAAACAGTACGGGACGATAGAAAGGAAGTGGAATGTCGAGAGTTGCAGTAACGTTACTTGGCTGGAAAAAAAAATAGGACAGAAAAAAACGAAGTCAGTCATTTGTTACTTAAGTCATGTTTATCCTTACTGTTCTATCGCGCAGTACCCGTACATAAAGTATATCTATATATTTACGTCTACCTGTACATACATTAAGCTAACCTAACTATATGTATGTAATGCTGGATGTATACACGAAGCAGTCAACTGGCTCTGCTGTGTGTCTTATACGTCTAGGTACAGCCTCTCCAATTAACTATTGTTAACTCGTGCTTGATAGAGGCCCATCTTGTATCCGAGACTTGGGTTCACATCCAGATTTCCCCACAATGGAAAATACTTGGGAACCGTAAAAGATGAATGAGCAATTGTCCCGTCCTCGAGTAATTCCTCAGGAACACTGAAAGGCTGCTGGTGCACTTCATCTCTCAAGAGAGTGCTGGTATTTAATGAATCATCAGATTGCATTCTGATGCACTTGCATACCATTTCACCGTGTCGTTCTATGTAAGCTTTTGGTTGACTGCATGAATATGGGAAGCTGTCAAGAGGAAATTTCTTGATTACTGTGAATGAAAAAAAAAAATGCAAAATCAGTTGTACATATGAGTTTTTATCAAAATCTGGTTTTCATTGCCATAAAGGTCTCTCTTATCATTAATGCTTAGGTGTTACTCAATTGTGGAAGTTGCTTGTTCACTTTCACAATGGTAGACTACATTAACTTTGAGTAAAGATATAATACACTTGCAACTGCACGAAATGCATCTTGGATCGTTCTTGAGGTTGTTGAATTATTTTAAACGAATTATCAATGCCACTGTAGTTATTGTGGATCTTCTATTTGCTCCGGTGAAAAACGTCCGACGCTTCGTGGAGAAACGTTGTCTGCGCAAATAGGCGTCGCCATACGAATAAGGCACGGAGCTAGTTTCCAATCGTTCAGTTATTCCGTTCGCGACGTTGGACGTCGAACGTTTCCGTTGCCGACGGGAAGTGATATAAATTCACTGCTTTACATTTCGTTGACAATCAGATTGGCTACGAGGATCTAATCGGTTGAACCTATCGTTGAAATAATTTCGTCTGGTATTCGTTTATGACAAGGACGCTTTGGTTTTGTTTACATAAGATTTGTCACAGTCGAATTGTCGGCGGCTCCTGAAGAAATACAAGAGACGATGAAAGTCGTTCAGTTTCGAAGCTTATTCATGGTATCTTACGAGCGACGGGACAGGCGTTGGCTTGAAACTTTTATTTTAGCAGGAAAAAGAATACAAGAATCCGGGGCAGTCAGAAACGTGAAAGAAACAAAGAACGAATAGAGTTCAGGAAAATGACTAGCGCGATGAAAGTTATGCGACAGTAAATAGCGAGGAGAAAAGATGCGCAAACGATTAGGGGTAAATGTAAGTATAAATGTGCGCTCGTGAGGTATATAATGAAATTTGACTGCATCCTAGGAAAACCGGAACCGGTACTCGGTGTTGTTAGAGGATGTACATAACGCACGTAAGAGAAGAGCATCTTACGTAAACCTGAAGACTTTTTTTTTTCTTCCACTGCCGGACAATTATTCATAATTGCAATTAATTACCTACATTTATGTTACGTGCCTTACCCGAGCGACTCTGCGCTGAGAACGGCACTGTTCTCAGACAATTTACTCGCTGACGAGTATAAACTGCATTTTGAGTCCTTGCAGGAATGTCCTCATTTATCTCCGGGATACTTTTAGTCGAAGAAGCAGTGTGCAACGGATGAGCGCAGGGCCGTGGCAGAACTTCCGGCAGTTACCCATGTGCTAATTTATCATTAGAATCTGAACAGCTCGCGCCCTATGGCGTTTCTGTGATTAGGAAATCGATAATAAATTCAAAATATGCCAAAGCCTTATCCCCGGATACATGCTTTCTAATTTCTACCTTGTAAGTTGGATTTGTGTGATCCGGTAATATACGGCTCTGTTGCCAATTTACCAATTGCACATATTCATTCTTCGGCGTGATTAGCATAGAACTGAAAATAGGTGAAGGTCCGGTGCAATCGTTAAAGATGCTCGCTCTGATTAGCACGGTTGATCATACTCATCATCTACAAGCCGAAGATTCTTTGTTACCTGCGAAAAATATTTTACATCAATCATCGTATATAATTGGTCAGTCGCCATAAAAAAAAAAGTCAAGGGTGTAGCTTTGTTAAACGTTATGCCGGTACTTGAATATCCAGTATTGTCAGGGTAATAGCAAAGAGCGTGAAATATTCGAATTGTCCTCAGGTACAATGAAGTAAATTCTCCTTGTAATGGCGAGGCGATAACCAATTGTAAGGCGGGCGTAAAGGCGTACGCCTATATTGCGATTACTGGAGCAAGGCCGATGGCGGCAGATGTGTTTGTAGAAAAATGACTAAACGCTCGACAATAGAATTTCTTAGCAGGATACGGACTGTTGCTGTTGTCTTATCGTCTCTAATCTATATATTTCTCAATCAATTTCTTATTTAATTAATCGTTACGTTCATAGTCTGCACATTGTTTCACGTATAATTCTTGTCTGGCGAGACTAGACAAATAATTGAATTTTTCAGGATAAAATTTCGATTAGAGATGCCCATACTTTAAAATCACTGAAATTTTAAGTTATATGAAAACTTGTGTCGAATATTAAATAACGTAAGGTCGTGACGTCGCAGTTACTTCGAGCCTGTGTCATACTTACAGGAATACGCGTCTGCTAGCCGGGTTGCCTGGCGCGCAGGCGCCAACTGTCAGCGCAAGCATCGCCATTGGCAAATCCGTGCCTTGAACTTTCTTTTACGCCGGCAAGTCATGACTGTACAATTTTACCAAATTGATGATACTTGCGAATAAGAATTTCAATCCTGGTAATAACGGGTCATTGTCTGCAACGACATAAAGTTCTTCCAGATACAATAGGATAGGAGGAGTAACGTTATCAATGAATGGCACTGGTAATGAGTCAAGTGTCTTCCTAGAGGGGAAGTCGGAATTATATGAAATGAAAAAGTGATCAGTGTAACCGCGCAATTGAACGTGACAAAACATAACCTCCCACGTAGACGGGCAACGTAGCATTAATAATGCTTCGGGACAGCTGAAACCTTGGCAGGTCGTGAATTTATTGTCGTAGGGATTTAACGCCGTACGTAATATGCATCCGCAGTGGTCCAAACTCAAGCAGCGCTCATTTGCATAACCAGCCTCGAGAATATTATCTAACGCACTTCTCGCCGGTCAAACAGGTTAATAAATTTCGAGCGTTCGAAAAATGAGATCGGCGCGCGATGCGGCCCCATTATGTATACAGATATATACGTAGAACTATGCGTATATAGCGTATCGCGATGAAAAGTCACTAGGATTCGTGCCATCTTCCTTTTTTCCGATAAAGAGAACACCACTGTATTTAGGAAACTACTGGCTTACTTATTAATTCTTAATAAATATGTCGTTACTCATTGAAATGAAATTATCGAGCCTGAAGAACTAGGTGAAAATCAAGATTTCTTCTTCAATGATAACACCTTATCATGACGTCAATCTGGTATGTTTGACGTGAACATCGTCAGTATCATCAAGGAGACAGAATACGTTAATGGTACCAGATATTTACGTGCACGCTCGTACGTGTTACTTATATAGGAGATTTCTATATTATAGGAGTAATAAGATTTATTTTTATGTATAAAAAAGTAGTTCATGATGGATACTCTTTAATTGTATACTGCCATAGCAAATGGCGTCGCAACCCCATGGTCTGTGTTTATTGGCTGGTGTTTTGGTACGGGCGAACTTTTAACGGTCGTTCGGGTCACGCGGGAGCTCAGTAGTCAGTTTGTTTTCGAAGAGTTCACATTCGAGCGGAGTGCCATGTCAAAATGGAGTGCAGTGAAGTGAAGCCAGTTAATACGTTGAATACGATGAGCTCGAAGATATGTAAGCTGTTAAGGATGAAAAGTCGGTAAGTAATTGAAAATTATTGGAACAAGTAAGCCGGAAAATAGTTGGCTTTCAATGCGCCGCGTAAGAATTTGCAACGCGAGAAATTTCGATTCCAGGATTGGACGATCGGTCGTTATTAGAGTGTGACTATATATCGCGATACGATAATTCAAGGCGATCGAGGATACGACAATTAGAGATTTTTAAAAAATGGGCATTCGCGCACGCCATCTTTTTTACACCTTATGCTGCTATTACGTACGTCAATAATGGATGTATGTATTGTATATACAAGAGGCCTATTTATTTGCTCATTCAAGTAGATTTATACAAGATCATTTAGCGCTTCGTTGATCATGATCACTGCTGTGAACGATCGGACACTGAATCAATTATTTTTATCCATATAAATTGTTTTGGCGGTTTGTCATGTCTCGTAGCTTCGATCAAAACTGCCCGATCGTCTATACAGTTGGGTAATAGGTAAATCCGTAATTTTAAAATTTCTCTTGAACAGTTATATGAACCTGTAAAATTATGATATATATTAACTATAAAACTACAAACTGTAAAAATATGAAAATTAATTCTCACCGGTGTTAGATTTTGACAGTTTACGAGAATCATGTAAGCGATGTTTACATTATACGAAATTGTTAGGATTTTCGAAATATCGTATTCGTACAATTTATTACTATTCACCCTGACAATCGTACGTCTGTATCGTCAAGTATGACGCACGTAACTCAACGAATTTTTTTTCACGATCATCCTAGAAGTTTCACAACTTTTGTTGACGCTTGCGACCTTGCAAATCGAACTACAGTTGTTAATAACATCTTGGCACGAAATTCTTAAGCCGAATTCACAAAGCACCTCCAAACTTATACCTTAGTGTTAAATGTAAAATCATGAATTTTTATTAGAATTCCAAAATACCTCTGACGCTTATACATATATCATGCGCAAGGTACAGTTCTACCAAATATGAAATATCAAACGAACAAGATATAGTAGTTAAAGAAAATTTATCAAAAATATGTCAATGCCTTATTTTGCTGTATCAATTTCAATAGATACCTTATCCACGTGCTCTCCATTACAAGATATTGACTCCGCGATAAGTAGATTACTTAGTACAGCGCGAGACCTTGACATATTCCAGAGGTAAAATATAGCCGATCCATCGTAACTCCTCTTCCACGTTAACAGTTTATACAGAGAAGGCTGTCCGCATAGATAAAAAAATTATTAGCATAACTCCAACCGATAACAAAGTGCGTTTGATTAAGTTGGAGACAAGGTATATGTATCATTTTGAAAAATCCGTTACGAAAATCAAACGTCCGATCTGGAAACAGCAATGAAAGCCAGCGTGCTATACGTTTCTCAGAATGAAATCCTCATAAACTTGATTAACTGGAGGTCATCAAAACAGCACGAACGATACCGTTACTCCTCGCAGAATAATTCTCCTCGTTACCTGTCATCATTTCACTACGTTGAGAATCCACAGTAGAAATACAGTCGAGTTAATAAAACCGATCTTTCGAGCCATCGACAGATCTTTTTACACGACTTTAACGTAACAATGCTCGTAGTGAACTTTCACCAGAAACAATACATTTCTCTACACCACGCTACAGGAAGTAATAAGGAAAAGAATTTTCTTGTGTTTTTCCTTGATAGCCCTAGTTTCCAACCGGGATCCAAACGTAATTCCAATGACTTTATTGCGTGCATCTTCAACGGCTTTTTCTCGCGCTCTCTCACTGCACGTCATGCTAAATCCGCCATCACAAGTGCGAATGACCAGAAACACATTTTGGTATGGAGAATCTCTGACTTTTATTCGACAAAGCTTGGAGACTATCATCAACGTGTATGAAAACATCATCATGCCCGGCAGGCGGGTCGCGGCGCAAAACAAACGGACACACCGTACAGGCGTCACGCATAACGGCCAAAACTCTAACGTCCAACTTACACGATGCGAACTTCCCATTCTACGCTGGGAATTGATTAACACGCCGGGGAATAACCGTAATGGGAAGCACCATAGGAAGGTGTATCCGTACGGTTCGATTTCGAAAATCAAAGTAGAAGCAGTACCAGCAGCGAAAGTGTGTCGACAAGTATCTCAAAGTCAATCCGATAAGGATGCACCCATTTGCATTCTTGAGCGTGAAAGCCAGGCGCCTCGACGCTCGTAAACGCGTTACGTTAGAAACAACGTAGATGGCCACGTAAAATAACGGATGCCTTGTTATCGTGTAATTATCACGTAACAATATCCCGGCGTTCTTTAACGACCGAGAATTATATCAGAATCGTTACACGATAATCAGCTCTGCGGCAAACTGACTGACGGCATGACTCATCGTCGGAGTTCGTTGCGTTCGGCAGAGACATGGACTTTGCAACGTGTAGCGGGAGCTTTCGCACACCTTTCCGCCATGAGCGCGCCTTCGGTACGAACAACGTGCTCCACGGAAGGCCTATTACGAGGTTAGGGTACTCGTTGAAGTCGTTGGATGTCCAAGGATAGCGACCTGAACGTTTCTTATACCTTTGATATTTCACGTAATGACAAACATGCTGTCCCGGTATTACCCTATGTGCATGCACTGTTTTTAGGATTTTGAGGTTAGATTCTTTGATCGTACGTGGGCACCTATTAAGATAGCTTCGAACTCATTCGGTCCTAAGAGGATAATAATAATTTGTTTAGTCTTGTATTCGATCGTCATTCTTGTATCAACACGTTGTCGTAGGACCTGGTGTTAATAGGCGTTGGTCTCGAGCGCACCTTTACCACCTCTGGCACTACGCTAGAGGATGGTCTTCACTAGAGCAGAGTCACGTCACTTGAGCGACCCGTGGTGGTAGCTCCAGGTATAGAGTCGTCGGTAGTAGGGGTAAAAAGGTATCGATGCGCAGTCCGGTGATCGCGAGCGTTGCGAACGGACGTTACGGACGGAGCTAATGAGAACTAGCTGTGAAAAATAATCGGAAACATTCTGTCTGCTCGTAACTCTCGGGTAGTGGTGGTCTTATTGGAGATCGGAACCGAAGGGATCCTTGTCGTTATTATTCGGTGACACGTTTATTTACTTATTTCACGCTGGTGACACAGGTGGTGGAAGTTGGATGATTTTTATTTACGGAATATCTGCTACTCTCGCGACTCTACCGGACGTTTATGACCGTTCGGCGAACTTTGCTTTTACGGTGAAACCTCGTTTATGCGGCATAACCGTAAGAATTTAAAGTTGTCGTAAGAAAATAATAACTCTGGGACATCGAACTGTCATTCAAAACTGAAACTTGGCTACTGGTGTTTCATTTTTGCTGTAACTGGTGACACTGTGAATAAACTTAGATATGTGCTCTTGGATTTAATCGTCTGGGTAAGTCTCGAATTCTCTTTCTCGATTGTCATTGTTCGTCCTCAGTGCGCCGTTTATTCTGTCGTTACGGCGCGTTACGGCGCACTGGTGCTTCTGAATATCTTAAGGGCTAAGTTAGACTCTTGAGAAGTTACTGGCATCCTGTGTATAAGGTGGTAGGTACATAAGTAGCTCGTGCGGCGTTCGACTTTATCGTTGGGATAAATAGAGCTTTTCGTGCCGTGAGAAAAATGCGGTATAATCGTTTCCCGGTATTGTTAAGAATCGCCGGATGAAAAATGGAGGAATGCGCGTATCCGCAGCGCTGCGAGGTATTCGTCAGGGATTATAACACGTATGTGCTTGTACAATACGTAAATAGGAATTTTCTCGCGATTTTGCACGGTATAACGTGTCGTTATGAAAAAGATGCATTTGCTTTTTTATTCCGCTTGGAAATTTTTTTTCACGATTTCAAACTCAGTTCCCGTTCTTTTTGGCGGGATAAAGTTATACAATTTTTTTTAACCTACGTTACGCGAATTGACACGTTAGTCAACCACTTCGGTATAGATGGTATCGATGAAATGCGATCTTGAACCATTTTTCAATTTTCAATCGGAGATAATGGTGTTCTTATCACGCGCGCCGATAAGAACTCGTCGAACGTCGAGAAATTCGTATGCTCGCAATAGCAAGTCAAAAATCTTATTCAGTTGGTATTGAACTTAAGTCGATCAAGGCCGATCGATCGATCCCGTCGCGCTGTAGTATCGATTAGATCGGTAAGACTGTCGCACGAATCGCGCGGCGGCTCGATTACGGCGTCGATTCTCGTCCGCCCCTGTTTTATCGGTTAAAAAAAATATTTGATCGCGTTGCGCAAAATTAATTCATCACGCGGCCAAACACGTGGATTTGATTGACGGTGCAAGGAAAAAAAAAGTATGTCGATCTCGTAACCAGTGTCCTATAGAAACAGTGTGTGTTGATCGTTGAAAAAAAAGGAAACAAGATATTGCCATGAATCTCGGTACGAACGTCCCAAAATCTCAAATGACAATTTTTCCGTCGTATCGAAAAAAATGTCCAATTCACGATGACGCACCGGCATAAACATTGCCTCGATAAGTAGCCGCGATCGAGATTCGTTACTCCCATGTGACCTCAAAATGTCCCGTTTCGAACGGTTAAACCAGCAACGTCTAACGAACGACTGTTTTCATGATCATTAACGATGATTTGTTCGTCCCAGGATTCGAAAATATCACTTTGCGAACGCTGTCGCAAGATAAACCTTGGGCTTCCTTCGATACCCGCTAAAAGCCCCATTCCGTTAGTGTGCCATATCGAAATTCGATCGAGCACGCATCGATGGCGGTGCAGGGTAGTAAAAACGGTTTGGTGGAAATTTTATGGATTTAAAAAGAATAAAAAAATAATAATTCCTCAGACGCATCGGATAATGTTAATTTGTACAGATATCGGGCTCGGGTGCTGCGGGACTCTTCATGGTTCGTAGGACATAAATTCAACACTACGTGATTCTCGTCGATTTGTCGCTTGCAACATGCAGTTTTCTAGTTGCTCTCGCAACGGTCGTACCGACTGGAAACGCCTGTTGTTTCCATAGCATTTCCTGGCCCCCGGTGTCGAGGGGCCTTCCTTTCAGCATTTTCTCTACTGTTAGACGGCCGTCCTGTCCCTTCTTACAAAACACCACGTGTATGTACTTGTAATTCAAGGCGTTCAATATTGCGGTCACGTCATCATAGCATTTACGTACTCGTTGGTAGACGTTGACGAATTTCATTTTCTTATTCGTTAATTCGAGCCTCGCGCGTTTTACTCGCTCACCGCTTATCCGTTCCTACGCGGCCCGTTTACCACGTTCTGCGATGTCTCGCGACGAGCGGAGCGTCTTTCTTGTTGTCCATTTAACGAATTTATTCGGGCTGACTCGCTTTCCCAAAACTAACATCGAAACGATTGGACGGCCACTCGACAGGCACGTACTGTGTTTTTATTATTTGTTTCGACGACGTAACGCACTATTGGGACCGTTCGAGAATTAATCGAACTCTAGCCTTTAATTAGCCTCGACCACTTGTTCCATTTGTTATATATATATATATATATATATATAGCTACTGTATATATGTATGTGGCTTATTTCTTTTAAATTCTTTCTCCTATCGTGCAATCACTTGGAAACTCTTACGAATTCTTACGAGTACGTTGATCGAGGCGAGCTCGTTAATCAACACGGGTTGACCTTGAATGTTGATTTACTTCCGAATTCGGCAGACGCGAGTGTACCATTGTATAGAGACAATGGTGCACTTCTTATCTCGCATGATGAATTGTAAGTCAGAATATTGGGGAAACAGAGATTTTTTGCCAATATCAAATTATTACGAATCGTCTCGGTTAATTCGAAAATATTGAATTCCTCAATCTTGTTAATACATTTTTTTTTAATTTATCCCCGTTTTTTGCTTTCTATTTTCAATTTAGTCCAATAACCATAACTAAAGTTTTTATAATTAATTTGTTTCTTATCTATAAAATTTCGCACCACATTCCAATGTTTGAGTATCGGCGTATCGATACGATCTTAATTACGTGATCGACGGGAGCTTAGGAAGTTGTTGTAAATCTGCCCAAAGGATTTACGAATTGCCTCTGAAAACACCTTTTCTTGTACTACTTACGTGAAATATAAATGTGACTGACGATATCGGAACTTTGTCACAAGGTCAAACAACGTACATACAAAATACTGTCGATATTAGAAACGAAGTCGAATATTCGCACGACAGATCCGGGCTAGATAACTGTAAAAGCGACCATGCGACAAGGGGCCACCTGTTTCGTGACACAGTTCATATCGTCGTTTCGATATGAACAACCTAGGGCTCTATAGATAACCAATGGCTATGCCTTAGCCGCCTAGTACCCTAGTACCGATAATAAAAAAGACCGTATACGACAATTTCCATGAAAGCTAAAAGTATACCCGAAAGTTACGTAAAAACTGTCACGGCATATTCATCAAGAATATTTACCATGGATCTTTTACATAGATAATTGAATCTTGCCTCAAGTCTTCCTTTCAATCGCACAATAACGATCTCCAATACCAATCTTTAGTTTCAATAACCTTAAGTCTCGTTCGCATTACCCAGTCGTACCCCTCCCCAAAACTTTTCCTCGTACGCAACCGATACGTCGTAATTCAGGTACACGCAGTTCGGCCTTGTACCCAGTTTACATTTGACGGACGACTATCGACCGCCGATAACAACCAATACCGATAGTCATTCTCAATGCGCAACGAAAATCGTCAAAATTCAACTAGCGCGCGCACGCTCCTACCTGCGACACGTTAAACTCAAACTTGACGATCGGAACGAATCGTTCGAAGGGGACATGCCGCGTTCTCAATGCCGACTCGTGACTTTGTCGCTGCACTTCGCCGCTGGTCCCGCCTTGTCCCTGGCCGATCGTGAGTGTCGCGACGCGCGTATACGACAAACAATAAGCGTTTACCTCCAATTACGAAATGGGCTACGGTACCGCGTATAAATACCTACAGGGACGAACAAGGCTGTATACACGTATACTTTTCCTATAGCACGTTGCCTGCCATTTTATCACGTCGCTGGCGAATCGTGTCAATTGTATGCGACTTATATATCGCGATGAATTTATTCGCCCGAATCACCCGACCGGTCTCGATCTTTCTGCGAGAATCGCATATCGATGATAATAATAACATGAACGTCGCGCCGAGCGCCCGTCGCCGGGAAACGCGTATTATTTTCACGCGAGATCGGTGAAAAAAATTTTCACGGAGATCAAGAGTGATCCGGAAATTAATGTAGGAATTTGGGGCGCAAATAAATTTCAGGGTAAAAAAAACTTGCCCGGAGACAGATTGCACGCGAGCGTCTCGACGCTTTTTGCCGTGCTCCCGATGGTCCCCATACCAGGCGGACCTTGCGTTCTCGTGTCCTTTACGATTTCTTCCTACTTAACGTTCCCTCTTTACTTTTTAACTCGTCTGCCTTTTCGTGCCTTTATCGTGGTATACGAACGCTCGCTACGTAACGAGAGAGTGAATTACTTAATCGAAATCGAATACGGGTGTCCGATATATATATATATATA